CGTTGAGGGTAGAAGGGGAAATGTGGTGGAGTTCGGGTTCTTGGGTTCGGTTCTTCCTGCGGACGTTTTCGGTTGATTGAGGGTGCAAATAGTGGAAGGGGCTGTAAAATAGGGGACATAAATGACCAAAATGCCATCCTTTAATTTTTCTTTTGGCAGCATTACCGTTATTAATCCACCTTCTATATTTCTATTATTATTAGTGTAGCATTAGTATTTTTGCTTAAGAATCTTCCCTAGTACTAGCTAAATTATCATTGCACATCAGCCAGAGGCTTTCACATTTAAGATGAGTAGTCCTGTATATATGTAATATAATAAGCTTACTATTAACAAATTAACATAAATTTTATAATGTATTTTTAAAAACCTTATTGTGGACTTTGGTACTTCACATCATTACAAGATTCATTATAGTTTTTTTGGGTCAGTAATCCATAATACTTTATCTGAAACATGGATGAAGTTTTTTGGGGGGGAAAAATAAATACATACTAGTTTAATTTTAAAAAAAAAAACAAAGGTTACTAGGTAAGCAGAATCAGCACTATGTTAGTATATACAATGGATGATCCAGAAAATCTTTTCTACTAGAGTGGACCATTGGTATTGGTTATATAGGTTACTAGGCAAGTGCAGCAAGCTCCCAGTTGGGAGTCCTAGTCAGCAAGCTCTCAAGAGCTCTCAAGCATTTTAGAATAAAAAATTAACAAATTAAGCCTTGGGAGGCACTCCTTCTTTTATGGAGCTCCAACAAGCTCCTAGTTAGGAGCTCCAACAATATCAAAAAAATCCATCTTCTATTTTAATATTTTACCCATTACTTTTAATTATATTTAAACCTCTTGTATTTTATAGAGGTTTTTTACTGTTCAACAGTAAGAAAATGGAGCCCACAAATGTCATTTTCATAACTCAACGGTAAGAAATTTTTTCACTCAACGGTTCATTTTTTACCCTCAACGGTTCATTTTTCACTCAGTCTCATTTATTACACTCAACGGTTCATTTTTTCACTCTTTTTTACCCTCAACGGTTCATTTTTCACTCAGTCTCATTTATTACACTCAACGGTTCATTTTTTCACTAAACTGTCATTTTCATTGTGAATAAATTCCTCTCAACAACGCCAAATCCCCAATTAAAAAAAAAACTTCATCCTCTCCCTTCGACAGACAACTCCACCCCCAAATCCTTTCCTTCGACCGAACCCAACCCCAAATCATCTCCGACCCGACGCAACCCCACGCCAAATCCACTTCGCCGCCATCATCTCCGACCCGACCCGAACGCCGCCATCATCTCCGGCGTCGGCATCGTCACCATCGTCGCTGGCACCCCAGTCGGAGGCCTCTTCGCCGCCAAAATCATCCCTGCGCTCCACAAACTGGTAAGGGGTAGTTTTGAGGGGGGTTTTTGTAAATTTTTGGCAGTTGGGAGCTCCCAAGCGCTCCACAAATTTGTGGAGCGCTTGGAAGCTCCCAAGCTCTCAATGTCCACGTCAGCCACATAGGCCTTGAGAGGGGGCGCAAGGAGCTCCTTGGGAGCTTGCTGGAGGGCTTGCAAACTTGACTTCCGCCACATAGGCCTTGAGAGGGGGCGCAAGGAGCTTGCTGCCCTTGCTCTAAGCAAGCATGGGTAATGAGCTAAACTCAAATGGAATGGGTTATTGAATGCAAATGAGCTTGAATGAGCTGCTAATTATTGATTATACAAGCACGTGGTGGGCCATAGGTGCAAATTTTTCAACAATATGGAGGCATATTGAAAATTTAGAAGACTTTAGAATGTCATTAATATGAAATACTTAAGGCCCCGTTTGGCAAAGGGTTAATGAAGAGGGGTTAAAAAGAAGGATTAATGTACTTAGCCCATTTGATAATCCGAAGGACTAAATTATTAACCCATTAAATAAGTTTTATTTTAGCCCTTATGATCAGTTTTAGTGTTTGGGAATAACAATGATTTTGACTATTTTCTTTATAATTAGAAGGGTTAACTCTTATTCCATCTAAATAGGAGTATTAGTAAACCCCTCATTTTGAGGGGTTAACTTATTTTAACCCCTCTAGAGGGGTTAACTTAACCCTTCTATATTTTTTATGTTTGGCAAATTATGGAGGGTTAACTCACTTTAACCCTTATATAGATTTGTTGTGTTTGGCAGGTTAAGAAGGGGTTAAGTCTCCTTAACCCCTCTCTTAACCCTTTGCCAAACGGTACCTAAGGGTACAACTGCATCAGAAGCCACAACGTAGATGCAGAGCATATACTTGATTTAAACTATGTTATTTGAAAATAAGAAAAAACAAATTGGAGATTCCAATTATTATACATCTTACAGCATTGCTATTGTTAGAGCATCTCCAACAGCTTCTCTATTTCTCACTTTTGGAGAATTTAGTTAGGTTTTTGGTCCAACAGATTCCCCATCTCATTCCCCAAAATAGGGATGAAGGAGGAAAAATAGGGAAGCTTCCCCAAATCTGTAGCATTCTCCAAATTTTTGGAGGAAAAAAGTGATTCTTCAAAATAGGGAAGCTGTTGGAGTTGGTGTAAAAATTAGTTAGAGAATATGACTTTTGCTTCCCTATTTTGAAGAAAATTTTGTAGAAGCTGTTGGAGATGCCCTTATTATTATCATCATTACGCTGCTTATTTATTTATTTTTTATAATTTGCCTGAAACTAAGAAGAAATATGGCAGAGACAAAGTCCTTTATATCCTTCCCCGTTTTGCTTGGACGCGTTTCGCACGCGCGCTGCTGAAGTGATTGCAAAGAGAGGTTTGTAGACAAAAAGGCCTGGCTTTAATTTTTTGTCTTTCTTCGATGGATAAAACAAACAAACAAAATAAAAATGGGGGCGTGCTTCAATTTTTGGTGTCGAGAGTTTCAATCAATGACACTTCACTACTTTCTCCATAAAAAAGGCAAAGCTTTTAAATCCCAAGTCATCAATTTGACCCCTAATAATTGCTTTGGTTAATAGAGCACACGTACACAAGAGGAAGAGAATAAAATCATTGCATCTAACATAAAAAAAAGGGCCATATTCATCATTAGTAAACTTCATGCCTCTCTTTTCGTTCACATGATAGTTTTGCCCATTAATTTAATTAACAATATAAAAGAAGATTATAAATACTCAATTTTAACCACGCGCTTATTAGTTGCAAGTGGATGAGCTAACTAAAGTTATAAGGCTGTTAATTATGCTGAAGGGCATCATTTATATTCCTTCGGCCCTCCTCATTTTGAGGAAAGAATGTTTGTTTCAATGCCACGTTAAGGAAAGGCTTGAATGCCAACTTGGGGTGGGTAATGGGCCAGGTTGGCCCAGGTACCAGCTGGATCGGGCGGTATTTGGGCTTGGCCCCACTCTGCCAAATGCCGGTAATTCGACTGCTACAGTAACAAACCACGGGTTTGGTGTACCTTGGCCTCCACCCCATGCGGGCCAGTAGCTTGTTGACTCACGAAGCCCACCAAATGAGCTAGGCCTGTGTATGGTTGGGCTGACTAACTAAACCTGCCTTGTGGCCCCGCCCAAATTAACTTTTACTTTTACTATACAAACACTTTTGTTACAATTTGTTATGATTTGTTTTGTTCTTGTAATTTTTTTAAACAATTGGAGAAATTATTTATCGCTCCTTGGCTTGTTCCGAACCACGTTAAATATTTGTGTTTGCGATATTTTTCTCCAACAGTATCCACATATATGAAATGTTACTTAGTAAAAAAAATTATTCCTTATAATGATTAGATCGTCAGTTTGTTAATTACATGTAATTTTTAAGTGTTACTTAGAAAACTATTACGAATAAATATATAAATAATAACAAATAGTAAGACAGGTGGGTAGGTGGGTCAGCCCATCCTATTTGTTCGTGATTCACGAGCAGATTGGACCGAGCTCTAGGCCCAAAAACAGTAGCCGAAGACGGCCCATTATCCTATTGCGAGCCACCAGCTCGCACATCCCACTGCACGCCTCTGACTCTAACTCTAACTCTAACCAGTTGGTTTAATTTTTTAATATGGTTTAGTCACAAAGATTGCATGAAACAAAAGATAAAAGATAATATGGTTTCCTACCGAAACAAAAGACTAATGTTATTGTATGAAAAACTATACCATCTCAATAATGTTAATCTTGCGATGTTTTCTAATGAAGAGAAAATTGTTTGTTTGTTTGTTACTGCAATAACGGACCCGATAATCCAATAAATAACTAATCCAGATCCAAACTGAATGTCAACATTGATTCCTTGAATCATATTCATTACTGTATATATATAAATACATACCCTGGAAATGGATTGATTTTCCCTTATTGGACTTGGATATGGAACGCTAGGGATTCACATCCGACCATAATGAAGAAAGTGCCCAAGCAAACTTTTGAACTAGGATTTGGTGGGTTGGACCTTTTTTCCCCTTTTTTCACTTTCCTCTTTCTTTTTTTTTTTCTTTTTTTTTTTTGCTCCCCGTCACATCCTTGGTTTGCAAAAAAGCAGGAGCTAGAGTGCTTGCCAAATGTTCGGGAAGTTGTTTTGTTCCCTAATGCTGGCTGGTGAAGGATAGCATCTGATTCTCTTGAGCACTCGTTATAGCAAATATTTGTGGAAGAATGATTCCAAACTTTATAGGTGGCTACGTGCAAATTCTGTTAGAAGGAGAACTTCTACAAATTGCAACATGTGACTTTGACTTCTCCCTCCACGTTAACAATTCACTTATTTAAGCACACAGTGAGGAAACTCGTTACCCCTTTGGAAAGGAAAATTAATTGAAGCCAGATTTCGACGAACTAGCATCCACTATCAACAGTCATAAGCGCGCACATACAAACTATATCATGCAAATGGCAGCGGCTTGTATTGAAATCCTTATGTTTCAGCAAGGAATGAATAGTTTGTGATGAAACCCACCACGGGAAACCATCGAAAGGATCTGAGAGCACTCAAAGGCAGCGTTTGATGGTTTCCTATTTAGCAATACACACAAGGGGTAAGCAAGAAGGAAATATGACTCAGGCTGTACGATAATCGTGTAAGACACACAATGCAAGTTCCTGAGAAAAATAACGCAGTTGGCAAACAGGTGAAAAGAATAAAGAGTGATAATACGTAACGAAGAAAGTCTAGCTCCAGACAGACAATACGTAATCAGCAACGTTTTGCATTATCATTAACACCACCCTCTCACTCGCATAAACCACCACCATTCATCACTTACATTTTTTTTCTTCTCATGGCAGGTACAAACTCATCTTTGCTCTAAAATTTGTTAAAGAATTGACTATTGGAATGGATATTACAAGGATATGATAAAGTGTGAGATACAACTAATAATATACAAAGAATTGGATTCAGCCACGCTGCCAACTCATACAGCTCAAACTCTTACACTTTCGTGTTAAACTGCTGAACTTATCAGAGAATCTATACTACTGCTAATCATCAGTGGTTTGTATTCTCCGATGATGTATACAAATGGAGGCAAGCACAGGCAAAAGATCACCAAGCACCAGCCCCTCATTGCTCTCTGTACCATCAAATCTGACAGTTACTGTTTTTCCAACAACTCCATCAGCCACTGCTAGTTTGTGAAGAGTCTGAAGGACTACTTGAAGAATTTGACGCAATTTCAGGTATAATAGGATCTTCGTTGAGTAGAGATTGCACTCTCTCCTCCACCTGGCTGTGCAGCAAATTCATCTCTTCGATGACCATAGACTCTGCTGCCTTGCAAGCTTTTTCATCCCTGAAGGCTAAGGTCCATCTGCCATCAACCAACACCTTCGCTTTCCCTTTCCCCGAAGCTGTAAATTTCAAGGGATCCAAATAGGGTAGAGAATATGGACGAATGCGCAAATGTAACCACTTTGGATGTCTTTCATCAATTCTGGGCTGATAGAAAATAGGAATTCGTCACTAGTTTTACTTTTTTCGTCAAAGACAATCTACAAAAGCTATTATATGAAGATAATCTATGAAAGGAAAAACTAAGAAAAATGATACATGGTAATTTTCAACAAATTAGGCTCCTATGTAGAAGATATTTGCACAGACATATCATTTGTATAAAGCGATTATCCAACGATAACCCAGAACAAGTTAAGAGCCCCAGATTCTAGTTTCAAAGAACAAGTGGGAACAATGGAGGTTACAGAATTGAATGCAAGTGATCCCATTCACAAGCTGGAAGTCTTTAGGATTCTGGTCAACCACCAACACCTTAATATTAATCTCGTTCTCAATACCGATTCATAAAAAACTTGAATTAGATCTCTTCAAAAGATAGGCCTCCAAGTAATGATTAACACTCCCTTACTGACCAGTATCTACATCATCAAAACACTGACGGTTTTTGTGTCAATGTTCCTACAGTAAAATATCAAAGAATAGGTACATCTTACATTTTTTGTAGATAATTGCAGCGACCTACACTTGCTGGCTCATGCGGATACAGGAGTATTCAAGATGAAATGAGACTACAATGGCACAAGCAAAAAGATGGAATATCATGTTAAATGACGATGCCAAACAAACCACTGCTGACATGCTTATTTGCGAAACTAACTAAATGAACAAGCAGTGCAGTTCTCCAAAAGAAGTAAAGAAATACTAAGTGGAACTGTGGAACCAATATGCTACAAATAGCTTTAACAGTTCATGAAATATTTACTCGTAAACCATCCTTCATTCTGCAATTTCTATCACGAACCTCGACCCCAATTAGCAGAAGTATAAGAGATAGAAAAGCTAATTATACGTCTATGGAATGATTATCAAACCAAAACCAAATAAGAAATAAATCCCGCTAAAAGAATCGTTCTAGAGGACTGCATTACCAGATCAGTTAAGTAAAATCATGAAATGTGTTTGTTGAACTAGTAATATGCTAAACAAAAGCGAAGACGTACATCTGAACCAGCCAAGGGTGCTGTGACGCGAACAATTCCACTTCGCTGCTTTAGGGGAAATTCTTCCGAAAGGAGAATCCAACCAGACGTGCCCTTAGAGATTGCTAAAAAGCTCAGGTGGCGTTCTTTTCCTCTCTCAAACGCTATTCTACAAGGGATTGCTTCATCTACATATTTCAAACTATAAGTATTAGCTAATAACCTTCCATGGAGAACAAAAAAATACATGGAGTTCCTATGAGAACTTCAACCGATCAGTTCAACACAATAAATAATAGAAATTATGCCATATATCCTACCTAAATTTATTTCACTGCCCAGCTTTGGAGGAAAAACATCTAGACCAGCAGTCTCTGCTCTTGAATGTACAGGAGAACTTACTGGAGTATGGAGAGGGGGCTGATCAGGTATATATCCACCAGAAGAGAAAATTAGAAGTTGGCGCTGAAGTACAAACACCTGAAAACAACAAAGCATGGTAAGCTCTTGAAATTGCCCCTTGCAATAGTGTACAAGTTTTGGAGAATATATGCTACAAAACAAACAGTCCTTAACTTTTTTGGGTGAACTATATGCAGAAGTGAGTTTTGCCCCTGTACATTTATGAAACTATCTTTTCCCCTCTGTCCCATGGTCATTTTTTTAAAAACTCGAGCAGGTGAACATACTCTATAGTCTATAGGCACAGTGCAAGCCTATGGCATCAGAATATCACTCAACCATAAACTTGCTCTTGGGACTAGAGACAATGCCACCTGGATTGCTCACCTCCAGTAAGGTAGGAGGTGGCGTCATAGTTGAACACAATTACCAACCCAAACTCCAGTTTTCCAGTATTCTTTCAGATTCTTCTACAATAATTCTGAAAAGTAAGAACCATAAAACCCCGTAACTGGCGCCAACGAGTCCATACTTGTATTCTTCCATTGACTTCCCTACTGTAACTAATTCATTTGTCATCTTCCAGAGTTCTAGTTCACCAGCCAAGTTTAAGTCAAAACAGAATGGTGCAGTAAATCCCTACAATCAACTATTGTGTGTATGTTTAGCAGTGCCATGGTATCCTTTTGTTTTCAGTGAAACCAAAATCCCCTTAACAGAGTTTAGTAACTGGTACCCTTACCAACACAAACTCCAGTTTTGTAGTATTCTTTCAGATTCTTCTACAAGTGAAAATTCTGAAAATTAAGAACACCATGAAATCCCATAACCATAGTATTCTTTCAGATTCTTCTACAAGTGAAAATTCTGAAAATTAAGAACACCATGAAATCCCATAACCAATGTCAATAAGTCTCCTACTTGTATTCTTAAAATTCTGAAAATTAAGAACACCATGAAATCCCATAACCAATGTCAATAAGTCTCCTACTTGTATTCTACCATTGACTTCCTTATTGTAACTAACTCATTTGTCATCTTCAAGAGTTCGAGCTCACTAGCCAAGTTTAAGTCAAAACAGAATGGTGCAGTAAATCCCTACAATCAACCATTGTATGTATGTTTAGCAGTGCCTTTGTATCCTATTCTTTTAAGAGAAACCAAAATCCCCATAACAGAGTTTAGAACTGGTACCCTTACCAGCACAAACTCCAGTTTTCTAGTATTCTTTCAGATTCTTCTACAAGTGGAAATTCTGAAAATTAAGAACACCATGAAATCCCATAACCAATGTCAATAAGTCTCCTACTTGTATTCTTCCATTGACTTCCCTATTGTAACTAGTTCATTTGTCATCTTCAAGAGTTCTAGCTCACTAGCCAAGTTTAAGCGAAAAAAGAAAGGTCCAGTAAATCCCTATAATCAACCATTTAGCAGTGCCATTGTATCCTTTTCTTTTAAGACAAACCAAAAACCCCTTAACAGAGTTCAGAACCAGTACCCTTCCACACATTCAAGCAGCAAAGAGGACAACGCATGTGATGGCACTTAGAAACCATTTTCTAAGGATATCAAAGACCAGCAACCACCAAGAAGGTGCTGGAACTAATATACTCAAGTAAAAATAATCCAAATATTAATCCTGGTAGCATGTCACATGGAATACTGAATGGTTTACCTCAAGACAGCTCAGACACAAATCTATCCATACATCTCACTTTCTATGAATCATTACCATGGTTTAAGCTGCATTCTATAGCTTCTGTTTCAAGCATGTTTCCATTTAAAGAAATCAAAGCGTGAACAGTAATAGTTGTACATAGATACATATCAGTCATGTTTCCTAAGGACAGCAACAAAGATATCCGTGACTAAATGAGCCTGAATCCAGACTAATAAGTAAGCATGACCATAAATATGTAGGTCATGTTTCGTGCATGCCTATGCAGAGAATGGTGGCAGCATAGATAAAATTTATGAATTTATGGCAATAAAATATAGGGAAGATAGGTGAAAGAAACCAACCTTCACCACCTCGCACATTCTTTCTCCAGCAGCAAAAGACGAGTCACCTGGAATGCTACAAAGCTGAAATGAAAATCTATCTAGATAACATAATATGTGCCCATATCCAGCCACAATTAAAATGCAAGTAAAAGATGTGCACAAGTTATATTTCAACATAACTAACCTTCGGACGAGCATGTTCGTGGTGGCAAAAGAATGGATTTTGGGTCTCGTTGAGGTGATGAAGCCTCGATAGCTGGTTAAATAAGTTAAATACTAGAATGTTTATAAATGAAGTAAACATGAATCCTTCAATTAATTTCAACGATATTTCAATCTTACCTCTCTTACAGTTCCTCCACTCATCTCTTAGAACTAATAAAAGCATATCAGACCAGCTTCCTTTAATTTCCTCATTCAGATAAGCTGTAGTGTACTTGTGTGCATCCTGTTCAGAGAGAACTCTCTAAGTGAAAAAAAAGCCCACACTGACATAAGTCACATAACTATAATTTCTTTACTTCTAAGTGTATCATAGTGCAGAAAATAGATATGCATGTACAATTAGTTGAATGATGCAATCAATGTCTGCATGCATATGCATAACTGCAGGATGTAAATCAGGGTTCAAAGAAGTGAGGAAAGGTATTCAGAATAAACCATTAGTGGTCAAAATTTAACAAAGCACCAGGAAAAGATGCGTACAAGAAGAAAAACTGATTTTCCTTGCATAGTAAAATAAAATAAATAAAGGGAAATGTAGTATAGAAATCTCAGTTTCCCGCCTGTTGGAAGAATGCCCTCCAACATTCCCATTTAAGCAACAAAGACTTGCAAACAACTACTGTATGTTCTCAAATCCCAGCTCCCCATCCCCTGGAATTTACTACTCAGAAGAATCTTCAGCTTTGTCAATTTAAGTTGGAAAACGGAAAGTTCCCACTTCAGAATAATCATTGCCAAACACGTTCCATCGGATAAGGAAACTTAAGAGTTTGTACCTTTTAACGTACTGACATAATCAGGGTTCAATTTTTAGAAGGCAAGTAAATACTGCTAGATATCTAAGTTTGCTCCATTATAACCTGGAGTCACAAGTGTGAGTCATTGCAACAGCATCTCCGCAATGTGAAAGCAAAACAGCATAGAGAAGTGCCCTCACCACGCCCCACAGTAGCAGAATCTTATACTGGGGTGTTTGCCCTAATTCTACGCAGAATCTTATACTGGGGTGTTTGCCCTAATTCTAATGTAAGCCCTCATCTGCAGCATGAGGGTAATAATATAATCGCTAAAAAGGTTGAGCTTATATTGCTAATGAGGTTGAGCGGCATAAAGGCCAAACATCCAACAAAGACCCGCACATGAAACTTTATGGTGTAAGAAAAGTTTTATACCTTTAGTTGCTTAAGATGATTAGTGGTAAATTCTTCCTCTCCATGGGGGAGCAATTGACGTAAAAGCCAACCCCCGGTCCATAACGTCTCTGCGGATAGCGAAGACCTGCAGAAAAGGTCCGCTAATGCATCGAGTACCTGAAAAATGTAATACCCATCATGTTGCATATCACTGCATTCTAGGGTTGCATTTACTTAATAACCATCTGCAATTTAGTGAGAAGATGGAATTGAAAGTTCTCTAGTATTGTTGACTCGGAAGTTATTGAAACTAGTATCTGGCAAATGCAATGAACTTGTTGTGCAGTGAAATTGTTCAGAGCAAGCACATGTGAATCTAATTGTGTAAAACATCCTCACAATGCGATACTAATTCTTCCAAAAGATATCATTTAAAAAGTGGTATACAAGAAGAGAGAAGCATTGACTCTGTACTCTGCAATGGCCAGCCACTAATATTAGTTTTCACATTTTTAATAGTTGTAGAACACATGAATTTTTGACAGATGTCATATTTAAAATGACATTGCTTAGAAAAGGCACTAGGTTGGTCTTCATCTTGGAACCTGCCATTACAATTCCTACCCAATCAAGTTTCAGCAGCAACTAACATTATTCTAGATACCATACTTAACCTCCTCTGGAAGTGTAGATGGGGAAAGCATGTGTTGGGTCCTTATTAGGGACAACTCGGGCACCTAGTAAGTTCCATCTTTAAGGATATGCAGAAAAAATACTCTTAATTTAGCTTCTCAGGTCCTAGAAATATATGTTTCAAGATATGAAGCCAACAGCTGCTCACTCTGCCTTCTCACATTACACATGTAGATACAAGCTCCCAATCCTAGTCCCTGATCAAATCTTTAAGTGAAATACACAGCAAAGTTATCATCCTCCTCTAAAGTCATGGAAACGGGTAGGGGTGCATGTACAGATATCGGTATATGATACAACAAATTTGTAAAGGGTAGGGTAATGGGGCATGGCTATATAAATCATACTCTCTTTAAAAATACGAGTTCGGAAAAATCTTTCTATGGTCAATATTACCCTAAGTTTTTTTAAAATATTACATTGTTATCCTAATCTATTCTAATTACCCTATCTTTTTTGAACTGATAACCAAATGATTTATTTTATTCATAATGAGACTTAACATGTTATTGGATAAAATAGATACGTTTAATATAATTCAAATCATTTACTTATTTCAGTTTGTAGAGAAATCTAAAAAAAATATGCTAGCCAGCACCTACAAGTTTTTGGGCTTTGTAAAAAATATTCTCCAAGTATTTTAAATTGCAAAAACGGCCCTACAAATTTAAATTTTTATTAAAGCATCTTAAAAATTATAAATTTTACTTATCAGTTATCTCAATTTAGAAACCTGAAAAATATATGCTAACTAGAAACTGAGAGCTTTTTAACTTTGGAGAAAATATCTTGTAAGTTTTAAAAATTACAAAAACACCCCTAAAAATTCAAAATCTATAAAAAATACCTTAAAATTTTCAAACCTATAAACATATTAAAAACCTACAAATAACACAAACAAACCCCAAAAATTTATGAAATTTGCAATACACACTAAACTTTTTACAAATTACAAAATAAAACCCTCAAAATTGTAAAATTTAAAAAAATCCTGATAGTTTCTGACCTAACAGTACATTAAAAATATAAGAATTATAAATATCCCCTACATAATTTATAATTTATAGAAAACACCCTTAAAGTTTCAAAATTTTCAAAAATTACAAACAAACGTTTAAAATTCAAAATTTATAAAAAACACTCTAAAATTTTCAAATTCATTAGTAAATTGAAAGCATGGGAGTTATAAATAGTCTATAAATAATTTACAATCTATAGAAAAGGCCAATAAATTTAAAAAATTATAAAAAATCCTTAAAATTCATAATTTACAAAAAAACACCATGAGAATTTCTAACTTATAGACACTAAAATGAATATGTAAAATTACTAACCCCTAGAAAATTAAAATTTTGTAAAAATTATCATACACCTTTTAAACGTATAGGTTTAGGAAAAACTTTTCATGGTAAATATTACCCATAATTTTTTTGAAAAGTGAAAATCTATTAAATTTAAAATTTACAAAAAAAACACCCTTAAGTATCGGTACATTACAAATTATCCCTCCAAAATTTGAAATTTTTCAATGATTTTTTTGTAATTCATTGATTTCAATGTAATGTTTAATAATTTTGTGTATTTGTAAATTATAAATTTTAGGGTGTTCTTTTACACTTTTTAAAACTTTTGTGGGTGTTTATTTTGTAGTTCTCTAAATTTTCATTATGTTTTCAGTGTAATGCACATATACATCAATTAATGATGATATTGAAGAATAAATCGTTCTTAAAATTATTAGATCATAGTTAAGTGTGCACATCACTATTCCTAGACAGTATAGTTTATATATACAAAAAAATTTCAGACAATCTATATAGTGGTTAAAAAGATTTTAACTTTAATGTACTATTTTTTACAAATTGTATTTAATATGAACCCACCATATAATTTTGACTATGATCATCATAATTGTAATACGTTTGATTGATTGACTATATACATATATAGAACATAGATTACTTTACTTTCTCACATGAGCTAATATTTGGTGCTTAATAATTTAAATTATTATTTTTAAATTTAATATAAATATGAGCTCTAATAACATTTATTTATTTACCTACAGCATCATACAATCTCAATTTCTATTTTTTACTCTTGTACTCTCTAGCAAGGATGCAAACTGATACCTCAATGGTGAACAAATCTATCTGAATCTCGATCTCAGGTGTATCAATCACCCTCTGCTGCTCCTCGTCGCGTAGGTGTTTCTTGAGCATTGACACATGAAATACATCGTATACACTAGACATCGTGCTGGAAGGTCTAATCTATATGACACAACTCCAACACGCTCAAAAATCCTAAAAATATCTCGAAGCAAGTTTTTCTCGTCTGCCGAATCGTTGAATGTCTTTCATTGACGATACCTTCAACATGACAAAATCTACAATATGAAACTCTAATGGTCATCGCCTCTGATCCGTGTAGCTCTTTTACCGACTCTGAACAGCAAGAATACGCTCCCTAATCAATACTACCTTCTCAGTAGTCCGTCTCACAAGTTTCGGCCCAAGCAACAGACTATCCTCCGGTTCTTCCTAACAAATTGGGGATCTACAGAGTCTCCCATACAATGCCTCATATGAAGTCATATCAATCATCGCTTGATAACTGTTATTATAAGCAAACTCGATCAAAGGAACGTTGTCCTCCCAGCTACCCTGGAAGTCTAGGATGCAAGCCCGTAACATCTAACATGTCCTCCAAGACTTGGTTCACTCTCTCCGTTTGCCCATCTGTCTGTGGGTGAAATACACTACTGTATGATAATTTGCTGTCAAATGAATCCTAGAGGCTCCTCTAAAAATGTGAAGTAAAAATTGAGCCTCGGTCTGATACGATCGTCTCTGGAACTCTGTGTAATCGAACTATCTCCCGAACAAAGATCCTCGCATAAGTCTCGACGATGTAGGTAGTCCGCACTGGTATAAAATGTGCTGACTTCGTCAACCGATCAACTATCACCCAAACGGAATCGTTCTCTTTCTTCGATCTTGGTGACCCCATAATGAAATCCATAAAAATATCCACCCATTTCCATTCCGAAATGGGTAAAGGTTGTAGGATTCTTGCTGGTCTCAGATGTTCTACCTTCACTTGCTGACAGGTAAAGCATCTAACAACATATTCTACTATCTCCCTACGCATACCGCTCCACCAAAAATATCTCTTCAGGCTCTTGTACATTTTTGTTGTGTCTGGATGCATTGTGTACCTAAAACGATGCGCCTCGTCAAGCAACTCCTTCAGCTTTGCACCAACTGACATAACCAATCGGTCTTTCATTCGAAAGCCTCTGTCTGTTCCAACGGTCCAATCGGCTTTGGGCTCCTTGAAAATATCTCCCTTTCGGGTTTGAATCCAAAAATCCTCTAGCTGAGCTTCGACCACTCTATCACTCCAAGACGACTGCACTGACATAGCCCCCAAAAATACGTTGCTCGTACCGATCTCTGGCCTAAAATCAAATTAGCTAAGGGTGTAAGGTCTCGGTACAACGAGCACCTCAAAACAACAATCTGATGTCGACGCTTCCTACTCAAAACATCTGCCACGACGTTCGCCTTCCCCGGATGATACTGAATCGCGAGCTCATAATCATTCTATAGTTACGCGTATCAAATTAGTAACTAAAATAATAATTATTTATGCTTAAATTAGGATGATTATAGTTGATCATTTACTATGAAATTTTTATGAAGATATATATCTTACTTTTTATAGCTATCTGCACTGCTCATATATATTTTATAAATTAGTTCTTAATTTAACATATTAAATTACTTTTTCTTTGTAAAAAAAATTTTCTTGACTTTTAGACTGTGTAATCACTATATCATCATTCTAGCATAGAAATGACCTCACTCTAAATAGGCTTCAACCCAATATTTGAGTAACACTGAAGTATATACTATTGCTACCATATGTATATATTTTAAAAAAATCATGTCAACACTTTTTAAATAGAAGAGAATATTCTAACCTATGATATTATAAAAACTAAATATAACAAATTGAATGATTAGCAAAAGAAAACTTACATCAGAAAAGTGTGAATAATAAGATAAACAGGAAAGGTAATGACATTGCTAATAGTACTACAAATAACAAACTACAATATAAAGTTAACCTATTTTGTGGAGCCCAACTACTGGCTATAAGCATCGAGGTTTCCATATATATATTTTATAATTTATTAAAAAGGATCATATAATCTTATATAATAAAATTATTTAATATTGAATAGTAATATCGTTGTAATAATATCATTATTAGGAAAAATTCTTCATGAATCGATATGTTCTTTACGATATATAAGCTATGCACTCCAAATTCTTGTGTATTTTATAGAGCCAAAAAGTTTAAATACGAGCCTCTAACATGTTGCTCTCACAAACAGCAAAATCTACTTAGAAGATATGGATATTCCAGATAAGTTATGTATCCTATATACAATACAATTGTCCTAGACAAGTGAGTTATAATAGTATTTTTTTATTCACATCATTTAGGGTAAGATTTGATAAGGACCTTGCATCAAAGATTTTTTTTATATTTAGAGCATATAGCGAAATATATCATAATCTCCCTGTTCTAATTTCATAAGAAAATAATTCTTCACACTTTCAGTTTTACTTCTATGATATAGAGAATGAGCTATAAAATTGAATGAGAATATTATTTTAGATAATATAAATATGAGTGAAACATCAACTAAAAGTTAACGTGAATGAGTCAAACCACGACTAAAAGTTTAATGGACATATTGCAAGTAAATTCATATGCAAAAGTCCTTCGCGAATTGAATAATCACCCATCTTTTGAAGACTTCAAGATACTAATAAATAGAGATATTGTACTATATTAATGCGTTTATAACTCATAAATAGTAGACCACGTGACCACAGTCTGGGTTAAAAGGAAACAATGATAATATTTTATTTGAGAGAGAGGTTATTGAGTTGATGATCAATATAAAAAGAACTTTGTTTTCTTTTTTTATTTTTCCTCTATTTTTATCAATTTAAATAATCATGATATTCGTGCATCTCAACTAGTATATATATACATACATATAATATATATTGAAATTAATAATATATTCAAGATCAATATTCTTTCATTCACGTGTTATGAGAATTAGAACTCCTATAATATTTTTATGTTTCTTTTATTAGGTGGATTATAAATTGGAAAACCATCATTTTTGAACTAGACACCTAAACAATTCTTTAAAATAATAGTCTGTAACCTGACCAATGTCCAACGAGTTTTAGGAAGTGGATGTGAAGAGTAGGATATGCATTCAAGAAGTGTATGAGGTGTTTTAACTTAGAACATATATTGCATAAGCGAGTACATGCTCGAATAATTGTATACATATATGCAAGAAGTGTCCGAAGAGATTGGGTATGGATATGGTTGTGTCGGGTACAAGTACGGCTTCAGTTAGGAGTATATAGGTAACATAGTTCAATTGGAATAAGGTTGATGTGCCCACAAAGTATATTTTTCAGAAAAAGGCTAATAGTATTATTAGTTATTATAAAAGAAAGAGTTTGAGTATGAATATGGGTATGTGTCGGGTACAACCGTACAAGTACGGCTTCGGTTAGGAGTACCCAAGTAACATAGTTTAATTGGAATAAGGTTGATGTGCCAATAAAGTATATTTTTCAGATATAAGCTAATAGTATTCTCAATTATTATAAAGTTAGATCCTTAACAAATGATATTAAGTATCTACCTCATTGGAAGACTTATTAGTGATCTTCTGTTATTAGTGCTCTTCTGCTAAGTTTATTCTCCCTAATCAATTGCACAATTTTAGCTTTTCCTGTATCCTAGTTTTGTAAGAATAGTTACGTGAACTTATTTCCTTTCAAAAGATTATGACTGAAGAAGAGAAACGGAAGGAAAAAGAAGAAGAAGAAAGTATAAGTCATACAAGGCAGACCTGGTATCTATGTTTTTGAGGGCTAACTGATACATCACAACAACATGAAAGCCCATAGCAACCCTGCACGAAAAAAATACCAAATTTCAATTTTATATCTAAAGAAACATAAATCCACTTATGAAGGGAAGAATAATACACTGAATTTTATCTATGAATGGATATGAATTTTATATTCCAACAAGGACAGAACTATTGTACAGCAGTACTCAGACACAAGAATACAAGTATATAAAAGTTTTCTTTTTTATTTTATTTTTTCGTGTATATATAATAGAGCAGTTTTTTCCTTCCTATATTTCAATTCTCCTACCTGCATCTCTGTTCAAAATGAGGCATCCAGCCTCAGATGTGCTTAGATATTGGAAATTGCAAAGGATCAAAACAAAAGGCCCTCCATCTATAGTTAAAATCCTGGTTATCCTAATAATATGTGATAAAGGCCATGTATGAATGCCTAATATGTCAATTATCATTCTAGCTAAACTAACTGATATTAAGGGATATGCAAAAGAGTGGAAACGTATTATGAGGCATGAGTAGAAGATATTAATGACAGGAAAGTAGGAGACATTTGCGATCGTTGTGGTAGCAAAAGTACTACTTTAATGTGACTTAAATGATATGGGATTAAGTAATCATTTCAAATATTTGTCTAATATGGAAATATTAAGGATTTAAAGGATGATATATAAAAGACCCTATTTTGAAAATATGTTTAATGCCGAAGGTATTCATAGACCACAAGAAAAGAAATGTAGAACATTGCAAGAAAAGAAAAGTAAACACTGCACAAAATGGTTGCACCACAACTTAAATGCATCTCAAGAAACAAAAGGTTTTAAAGGTAAAAAAAAGGATGAAAGTACCTTAAGCTTTTGCAGATCTCTCTCCAGCTCAGTATCAATGTAATCTTTAACCACATTGTTTTCTGGAGAAAATAGCTGCTCTTCACCCGCGCCTTCACCAACCAAAGCTTGCTGTATGAACATCAGAAATCAATCACTGTTTTTTTAACATAATCAATGGTCCTCACTCCTCAAGGTCCATCTCACAAATAAATCTAGCCTAATCTACAGCAATGTCCACAGGATGAAAATTTCGTTGAATTGGGGAGCCAGATATTTCTCATTTTACAGAATTGCAAGCGCGGAGGGGGTGTATTTTTATGTAAGGGTCTTATGCATATAAGTATATATATATTATAAGGTAATAATATATATATATATATGGAAAGTTAAGAAACTCCATATAATAATCAAGAAATGAAATATAATATATATATTATATATATATTGAGAAAAGGGTATGTTTGGTACAAGCACAAATTGTGTGCTTTTTAGGTAGTGGTTGTCATATTCTCATCCTACTCTTCCAATTCCCACACATACCTCCCAATCCATGTTGAATTGTGGCCCGAATTTCGAATGAGGTGGAGGGGAATATGTACAGCTCATACCAAACAAAAACTTGTGTTTGGTACTAAGCACCATCTCTCTCTCTGTATATATATATATATATATATATATATGGAAAGTTATGAAATCATCATATAATAATCAAGAAATTGAAATAGAAAAGAAAAAAAAGAAAGGTTTGTGATGATTTAGAAATCTTTTCTACTAGATCTATTATCCTTATGCATGAAGATAATAAATTCAGTCGTTGTGGTTGGACTCTATCATGGATTTCTGATCACATTCTCCATAGGGCCGTCTGATCTCTACTTTCTCCGATCTCGGGTTATGGAAGAAGGAGAAACTCCTATAAACTTAAGTGGATACGAACTCTTGTCCACCAACTTTTTTTAGCCTTTAATTTTGCTTTGAGATTTGTGCTAGACATGAAGGGTATCTTTGAGATGTGTACATTGATTTATATCACATGCTAGTAGAAATCTCAAATTAAATCAATGGATAAAAAAATTTTGAGGATAACAAATTCCTATTCACTTAACTTTATAGGAGCTTTAATACACACACAGTTCGATGGTTATGATGTGGTGGCTAATTTAGATAAATGAGCTACCAAGAGATGGAGGAGGTGAGACCCACACCTTTTGATGTCACAAATAGGGTGACTCTCACCATGTGGATATTTCTTGGTTAGCTCATTTAACAAAGAAGCTGCCACCTCATACCCATTTTCACATACACACACATGCACGCCCGCACGCACACGCACACACACGCGCATGCGCGCTCGCACACACATGGGGGAGAGAGGGAGAGAGATGTGTATGCTTCGCACCAAGCATAAACTTGATGCAAGGTAGTAGGGTGGATGCATCTCAACCTCACATTTAAGATTGTAAAATACAAAGAGAAAAGGTGTCACGTGGTTGTACTTTCCATCCAACTAATCTCACTCACATCTATGGTTGAGATTCCTCCACCTTCTTACCAAGCACCAAACTTGGTGTTTGATACCAAGCATACCCATATTGCTTTTATACACACACACATATGTTCTCTTGTCTACCAATTTTTCTGACCATTGATTTTGCTTTGGAATTTGTCCTAGCGTGTGATACACATCAAGGACACATCTCAAAGATAGATCAAATGATTAAAAAGTTGGTGGACAAGAACTCATATCCACTTAAGCTTGTTCTAGTTTTACTCTATACTAGCATTGCTGCACGAATGCAATAAACAAAATTTCATTAGTGGTTATAGTATTTTTCTCCCTAATCCTTAACTTTGTCCAATGTAATCTCAAAAACAGTTTATTTGAATTTAAATCTATCATGTATTTGAATATTTCAATTTCATTTATTTTAAATTTAAAAAGGTTTTTCTTATTACCGTTCACTATAATTAATCAAATGAATATTGAGTTAATTTGAGGTCTATAGTAGTTGATTTCTATAAAAATATATTATTGTTGTCTTTACTCCATCACAATGTCATATATCTCTGATTCTAATACGAGAAATATGGTTGTACTAAAATATTATTTCATAATTTTTTAAATAATGTCATGAAGATAGTTCTTTTAATCAATTTTTTTTTCTTTGTTATAATTTCCTTTAATCAAGTCCTACATTCCAAACACTTTTTTTGTTGTTTTTTTGGAGGGGGCGGGCATTTAATGCTCTATGGGGAAATCACAAATGTCCTTCAAACCCATGCATTCCAAATTAATTTATATATATTAATATTATATATATATAATTATATATTATTTTTATATATATATATATATGGGAAAAATGGTAATGTCTTGGGCTATCACCAAGACAAATAAGTTTTGCTTGGTATGAGAGTGACATTATCTCTCTTCCACTCATTCAAGATGATTGCATATTCCCATGCATCGTCCTCACTCCATGTGAATGTGGTCCCACATTTGAATAGAGTAAGTGGATTGTGCCGACCTCAACTACCAAGCACCAAAAATTTGGTGTGGAACCACAGCATACTCACTCTCGTCGTCTGCTCTCGTCTCTCTCTCATCCACGTTGATACCGTCTCATCTCTCTCTATCTATCTATCTATTTAGTATATATATATATATATATATAGTATAATATATATATATATATAATATATATATATATCACTGCTTGGGCAAATCACTATGTCAATCGTCAAATATGGTGTCAAACCTCCATAGGATTGTGAATATTTACGCTGTGTTAGACCAAATTGCTCATAGAATAGAACTACTTGTAGGTAAGCTGATAAAAGGAGATGACTCATTAATTAATGCCATATGAACCGATGACGTGTACTATCTCATTCCCTCCTTGTCCTAATCGACTAATATGTGTTTTCCAACAAAATGCATCTGTTAGGATGTACTTTATGGCTAAGCGCTACAGTAAGTAAAGTTGGCTAAAGAAGAAAAAAGAGGGAAAATATACAGATGTGTTTGGAAGCATATTTATCAATAATTAACCTGCCAATTGATAATAGATCCTGGAGACTGTGCGCTTCAAAAATGAAAATTGCATAGTAAACTAACAATTACACATTATAGATGCTTTGTACAAGGGAACTAAGGTGGAGGATTGGTCATTGCGTCCTTGCAAAATGACTAATAATCTGGAGTACCACGTTCAAATATCAAAGGACATGTCAGGACTTCATTTGGGGATTAGGGAAGTTAAGGAAAAATAAGGGAGAGAAGAGAAGGGAAGTTAAGGGAATTACCTTCCTTCGTGTTACACCCAGTTTAGGAGGATTTTTTTTTTTTTTTTTTGTATTGTTAGGGGTGGACTTAGGGGAACTAGGAGGAACACTTCACCCTCTAACTGAATTCCCAAAGAAGATTAATGAGTCCCCTACCTCTACCTCACATTATACCCAATCCAAACAGACACTAAATGTATCCCTAAAGACAAATATTCTACTAACCTATGTACTTCGTAGAATATGATTAGCTATAACTAAAAGAGCAAACAAAAACAAAAAACAAAACAAAACAAACCAATATAACTTACCAAAAGAAAGGAACATAATTAGGCAAATAGAAAAACTATACCACAAATACTAGAAGAGCTTCCTGCTTCAAGTCATATTCTAAGTTAATAGGAGAGAACAGATAAAAAATGATCAACACAACTTTTAAAATTAAAGAATAATCTCAGTCTATGACATTTGGGCAAAACATCATTTTTGCGTAATTCATTTCATAAAGATTTTACTTAGCTGAGGTCAATATGCAACACTCTAATATCAGCATCCCTTCTAAAAGGTCTCCTCAGAATCTCTAAAAATGAAGAATCTTGATCTTATAGAAGAGAACCATAAAACCCAACCGAACAACTCTCTCCTTAATTTTTATTGTTACCTTCAACGTCCAAGATTTTTATCTTTTTTTATTTTCTTGTGGTGGGGGTTTGGGTGTTTGTCTGTTTGGGGCATTGGGTTTGTTGGGGTCTACTGAGATTTCACATTACTCGCCCCATCCCTGAACCCCACTCCCAGACCCCTTCTACCACTTGAGACGGTCATTGGCAATAACTAGATTATATCCGGTTAAAAATGAATAAAGAAAGAACCTAAAACTATTAATAACAATAGTCAGGTTACATGATGAACTTAGAAGGATATACCATTCTTGAAAAGTTTTTTTTTTAAATAATTTTTTTGGCACAATCATTCTAAACTGTATTGTAGTCATGTTCCTAATTATTTTTAGGTGATAACGGCATATCAGCTTAATTTTACTTGAATAATTCATATGAAGTAAACATATGATTGCAAATGACACTCATCTTGTACGCAATTAATATTAGTTACATTATTGAACTCTTCTTTTGCCTTTGGGAAGATCAAAAATCCCAAAAACTGTCACTTGATTCACTTCCCTATCAATTAATATCCGAGAGAAAATATATCATTGACTAAAAGTCCAGGACCAAGACTGCATAACAAAAATTCCAAAGGAGATGGAATTTTTGCATGTTAGACTTCCTCACACTGTAGTTTACTCACCTGTCACAATTTCGAGCCTCGAAAATGTAGTTAATATCACCTCATAACTGACAAGGCAAAAGCAAGTTGTGCAGAAGTAACAGAAAATAAATCAGTAATACATACTAGTAGAAGCTTCTTGTGTTGCTTCCTTTGAGGAAGAATACCAAGTCCATCTAGCACTGACTCGTCCAATTCTGTGAAGAATTTCAAATTTCAATAAACAAAGTAACAAAATAATAAATTCATGAGTGCTAAGTAAGATGGTTCCATAACCTTTGGTCTGCAGCAACGTAGAAAGTAAGGTCAAAGAACCCAACGCATGACTCTCATCTCCATTTATGATAAATGAAAGCAATATTTCCCTGGAATTACTAGCAGAAAATCAGAATAGCAAGAATAAATTTTAAACAACAAATTGCATGAAATAAGAACAAGTGCAAAGGGATAGTTCTACCCTTCAAAAGATTGCAGTATTAGAGGCCATCTTTGCTACTAAATAAACAATTATCACATCCTTTTTTTATTTTTTAAACCAAGTATGCAACAAGTGTAAGGTAATACTGAAGATGGCAGTGTAGTACCTGTATACATAGAGTTCTTATAACTTTATTGTTGTACAACTAGGAGGTTAGCATCAAACAAATTCTTAGTACTTAACAAAGTAAATAAGAACTCATTATATAGGTAAAAAGGTAGTAAATTTTTGTTAGAACTCTTATATGCATGCACTAAAAGGACAATCTACATGCAGCAAAAGGTCAATTTCATCCCCCGCTCTTAAATAGGCATACAACTTGGCAAAAACTATTCTCTGCAATTAAATATGCCTTTGAAAATTCTCCTGGGTTGAATTATACATACCATTAAGAAAAAAGATTTTTTTCCCTGGAGGACTAAAAAACTAGATGAATCGGTACCAATTACATTAGCAAATCCTATTTGGCACTCTTCATCTTAAATGTCTGTATCCTATTGACATCAAAGCGGGGGGAAAAATAAATAAACCCTCAGTTTAGAAGAATCAGTAAGTGAGAAGCTACCTCAATGTAATATTTGAACCATAACCATTGCGCTGTGGACTTGGACAATGTACTGCACTCAGATTAGCTCCTGAACTTTCAGAATCTTCTTCCTCAACAACAGAATCCGGATTTTCCTGGCGGTATGGTTGAGAAACACCATACTTAGAGTCAGTGCCATTAGGTCTTGTTTCACATTTCAAAATGAAAATATCTGAGTAGCAGAAGAGGGTGGAAGCAATAATAGTTGCCAAATCCTTCGTTTTTACAATGCGTAATATACAACAAAGCAGATATAAGCACGTTGTGATGCTGATTTGTGAACCCTGCATTTACACAGTCATTAGCAGCAAACAAACATTTAAGAACATCACAGCATAGAGTTAGCTATTAACCCCTGGAAGTAAAGCAAACTTACAGCTATCTGACGTTTCAATGTAGGCAGAAGTAGTGGAAAAACTAAAAGCCGCAATACATTATCAGATATTAATTTTCCCATATCAGGAACACCAGCAGATATGACATCACTGAAGTAATATAAGTTGTCTTCTATTTCATCAACTTTCGTAAGAATAGAGGCAGAAATAAAGAGATGATAGTTAAAATACTGATGTCTTTATAGACAAACAAGAAATGATATATGAAGAAAATATATTTACTTATTTAGAAGAAGACGAATATAAGAAAATATATTTAGAAGAAGACGAATATACATGCAATCCCAATTTCTTTCAAGCTTCTGCAAATTCTCCCAAATCACGGATGCATAGTGGTCTGCATGCAGTGAGGGGTAGGAAGGGAGAATGGAGGAATGAACTCGGTAATAATTTACATGATAGCAGAAAGAATTAGCTCCAAAGTTCTGAAGTTTGCTACTGGATGAGTAGATCACTTAATTAGCTACAAAACGTAACTCCCCACAACCTACTAGAGAAAATTAAACACAGGATAATGGAAAGACGGAGGGAAAAGAATATAGAGATGAAAAGACTAAGAGTGTGGAGGTTTACCAAGCATGAAGCAAGCAACAAATGGTGATGCTCCAGTAATAGTCGTCTGGATAATGGTCAAATGGGAAGGGCAATTAAAGTCTCCAAAAGAACACTGAGGAATTGTGATGGATGGCTGGCTGACTTGTTACTTAACAAGGGATGTGTTAGGAACAAGGGTGGCCCAGTGCATGAGGCTCCCACCATTGTGGGCCTTGGGGAGGGTCAGATGTATGCGGCCTTACCCCCATATGCGGAGATGCTGTTTCCAAGATTCAGTCCCGTGATCATCAGTCACAAGACTAAGAGTGTGGAGGTGTGAGAAACACAAAAGGGAAATTGTTATCATAGAATAATATGATGGGTAGGAACTTAGGATGCTTTGGAGCTCTGAACCCTTTGATAACTTCGAACCATAAATTTCTACTGTTCTACCAAAAGTGTGTGATCGTTTTGACAACACCCAAACATATGCATTTAAAATAGTTGAGTCATTGACAACTACAAATTTGTAATATTTGCAAATACTTCTTTAGAAAAAATATATATATATATATATATTCTTACACAGAAGCTTGTGAGGAGAATTCATCTAGGCTGATACATTGGTCTGTGAAATATTCAACCAATTTTGAAAAATAATCCGATAGCGGTCTGCGTGAAACATATCTGTTGACACAATCATCTCCGACTGAAAAACAGAAGATACATAAGAAAAGTTAGGTAAACGATCGCCATGAAGAACACAGATCAAAGAAAGAGTATCAATGGAATTGAGACCTTACCAACTTACCGTGATAGACATTAAGTGTCAATGCACGTACTGCTATACGGACCATACTTTCATCATGGAAAGCGTATTTTATTGCTTCGGTATATAGAGGAAAAGCAAGTATTTCATCCTATTACAGCAAAATAAGGACAACCACAAAGAAGGATAACATAAGGATAACATATATGGGATCTTAGAAATGAAGTAAAAGAAGCATGCACTTATCTAGTTAATATTTTGCTACCATAGAGCTAAGATGTCAGCCAAAGAAACAAATATCGACACAATCTCTGTAAGTGACCATTATACTGAATAGTCGGGATGCAAATAGTTCACCTATTTTTCATACTTGTGTTTGGGGTAAGACTTGAATGTGCAACAAACAAATTATAATTGTCAGATTTAGCAGTTAACATTGTTTTAAAAATAGGTCGATTTCATCGATTTATCGCCGACATATAGGTATTGGGCCATATGACTAATACAATGTCTGCAAAAATTTATTGCATATCGTTTTTGGCCGATTTGTCCTGATTGTATATCTCATAAAGCGGCCGATTTCTCGTGGGTTAAAAATCACCCAATTTTCTACAAGTTACATTCTTAGTGAACCGGTTCGGGTTTGGAGGCAAAAACCCTCTTTTTTCATACCCAACCTACAAACAAAAACCGTGCTATCATATTATACTTTACTTCCACTCATCATTTAACCCTAATTCTCTCCGCCTTCACTGTTCTTTCCCCCAATCACTCACAAATTTCTCACTCGATTATTGGTGATCTCTCTCGAAGACCCTCTTAATATTTCATTAAATGTGCTTAGATTACATTTTAGGACATTGTACTATATGTGCTCACTATACGATATGACATTCCGACTTTTACCACTTAATCCCTGATAACCAATATCTTATATGAATTTTGGCCATTCAATATATTTGCGATAACCGATATTTAAAACCTTGGTAGTTAATAGTCTACAAATGTCAAACATGCTTATGAACTTCTGACTTTTCGTTTGAATAGGCTTCAGAATACGTAGTTGGTCAATTGTCATAGTCTCCCAAGGAAAATGAGAGGGGCGTTGGGAAGTATTGCATTAACAAAGCAAAGCAGATGATTACTTGAAGTTGAAGTATAGAGTGCTTCATTGATATGGCCAAGAATTTGAATTAGGCAGTTAATTTGGAACAAAGGTTTGTACATGAATGGCTCTAGTCATATGTATAGCGCCTCATGAAGGTTCTGATTCTAATCAAAGCATTTAATCTTCTGAATGGACAAGCATTAAAATAAATTGAATATCATCTGCAAGTAGTTTGTTCCATAGAAGACATAGTGATAGAAGATAACAGGGTCCCCTTTCTAGCTCTTTTTAGTGTGCGATAAAGTGAAAGTCAATCTGGCGCAAGCAGGAGGTACTTATGGTTTCAATGTAATGCAGTTGAAAAGTGCCTTTATGCAACTAAGGAGGTTTTTGCTCTGAAATTAGCAAGTTGAGCTAAAAGCCATAACTATGGGTCATAAGTTACTTACATTGCCAGGAATTTCCGTAACTATATATCCTGTGTTCCATATTGGCTGACTAAGTTTTTGCTTACGCTTCACTTTCTTCTACTTTCCCTCGCACTCAAAAATTAAAAAGTCTCTATTAAATTTTAGTTTCAGCTATTCTAAACATTTCCTATCAACTTTTTTAATAAAAAATACTACTTCATAACCTTAGATATCTTTCCCTCTCTGATTGCCAAAAACTTCCGTTCCCTTGAGCCTCCATCATGTGATATTTCTAAATCAAGGTAAAAAGAAGCAAATAAATAAATAAATCCCTAGATATAAGCACTCTTGAGGTAGACCTAAGCAGTCTTTCTCACCCCAAATTCAATCACATATTCATAAATCCATTTCGTAATTCCACATATCACACAAAAAACTAATCTTGATCCATCCCAGAAGCCTAGGCGTCTCTGTTCCGTTGCAAACTAGTTTGCCCCCAAATCCATCTCAACACTCCTGTAAACAGATAGTTGAAAGATCTGCCTCTCTCTCTATATTTTCTATACCATCTTCTGAATGTGGTGTCTGTAAGGAATAAATAAGGTCCAGAAGGAATGCATGGCCAACCAGAAAGACATTTTTCTACACATGACAATTAATATGGAAGTTGTTCTTATATTTTACTAAACCTAGAACCAGCACAGTAGTTCACTGAGCACAAATACAAAATACTAGTCATGTTACTGTCTTTTAAGTATTTTTATATAAATACATTGACAAGTAAATTGAATACAGGAAATTGCAGGGCTCAGGTTAAAGAAATGACGTCCATACATTTCGACTCTGCACAAGCAATGAGATTGTCTGCCTGTTCAACTTTCCACTTATTGCCCTGCAAGGGACAAAAATGATTGCTTCAGTATTATCCATTGAGATAAGATAGAAGTGATCAGATAGTAAAAACAATAAAATTAAAACAAATTGAAAAATAAATTCAAACATGTTTACAAACCGCAAGAAAGATATGTAGTAAGACAGCAGCTCGTCGTTTCGAAAGTCAAAAGAGTATGTTATGAAGTAGTTAATGTGCTCATTACTAAAGATATAATCTGTACCAAACAAAAAAAAAAGCATCAGTACATTTAAACATACAATTTTTATTTGAAAAAAATGCTAATTTGACCATGTCAACAGACCAAGAACTGCTATTGGCCGGAGGAGAAAAAATAAAGGATCTCTTCCCCCTTTTTCTCCAATCAGGCGCTAGCAGCTGTCATTGTTCTGCGGGCTAATGGTCTGAGAATCATTACTTTTTTCATTCATTCACAAACAGGAGAACACCAAAACATTACAAATTTCATTTAGTTCCTCTGCCATTAGCCACACTTACAAATTGAATGTTCACTTCTTAGGTTCTGGATCATAATACTCATTGTCTGCAGCAATTGAAGTGCAACTCTTGAAGTTCTACTAATTCTCAATATGCGTGCAAACTCACCCATAATCTGCTTTTCCATGAAGAACCTGAAGAGAGAGGTCAACAGTATTTAAAAAAACCAATTGCAATATCGAGATCAGAATCAAAGAAGAAAGAAAAAGATCCATTCTGCCTCACTCAAAGAAAGAAGGATTATTTTGGTCGCCATATGTTACCAACTCAGCAATTGATCTCAAAGCCTCGATGACGAAATCCTTCATCACAAGAACTAACTTAGTGCGGAAAATATTAAATAAACATGTGACAAAAAGTAACATCTATTGATAAAAGCACTTACCTTGTTAACTTCATTCACAATATGAACCCTTTGAAGTTGATCGGTTAGATATCTGCAATATATAATAGTTTAGTGTTTAGTAAAAACAGAGTTAGCTTTAAATTTTCAAACAAGTACGAGCAGGTTACAGCTGAGATGGCCACAAACTTATGATTGTGATGATGAAATTTAGAATACAGCTATCATGTCACCAATACTCATTAACCAACATGGAATATCATGTTTGAGGACATGAATGCAACCATTATTCCTAAGAAGTGAAACCTAGAAATTAAATCAAAGAGAAATAGATAGACAGATAAATGAGCGGCGAGGAACTATGGGAGATCATTGCTTGAAGTTTACATAGAAATATCAGATCACCAGATTATGGTCAGATAAAAACGTTAAATGAAAACCAGTTCTACTTAAATTGATCTTCAACGATGCCCAAAAGACTATAGATCAATTGTTTTCAAGTCTTATTAATGGATCATATGGAAGCGAATTGTGAAAGTCCCTAACAATTACACCAAACTCCTAAGTTGTGGTGAGGATTAAGGGTTATTGTTTTATATTTTAACATGGATTCATAATTTAATGCATAAAACCCAACAAGTGTTAGTGTTTAATGGTTTAAAGTGTTTTGGTTACAACTGAATAGCTGGACTAACAATTCTTATACACCAAACTATAGATTCAAGCAACTACCTTCACTTCATCCATTTTGAGCTACTTGATTCATAGACCAAGAGGACTATACCTTTTTACCCTAAACTAATATAGATCAATTCATTTAAAGTAATTTTCCATTTTTATACTTTATCCTTCATATTTAGTGCCTCCAATTACCTACGGCAGTAGCCACTTACACATCTACTGGAGACTTTCCTATGAAAATGGCTATCAAAACAAGCCCTAGGAGAACTCCATGGTGGAATATTCTTTAGAATAGTCCTCAACATTCATCTTGATCTACGCATGAAAAATACTTTATTCTTGCGCATATTCATATAACTGCTTGCGACCTATGCTCTACCATTCATTCCAATTTTAGGGACCTGGGTCACAGTGTCCTGATCAAACAGCAGACCAAAGGGACAAGCACAAGAGGTCATCAAAAAGACTTCTTCCAAAACTAGCAGTCCCCAAGTTAGCATATTACGGATTCTTGGAACAGATGAAGCAAGAAGTCCCCAAGTTACCAATATACGGATCCTTTAGCTATACAGAAAGTTATCAGTTGGTACATGGGTAAAGTGAAACCTTGATTCGCCTTGTATAAACTATTTTGGATGTGTAGGACAAAAATAAATACTGCCAATGATGCAAAGGATGGTCCAACATTTTCCATAAAAGCTTAAGCAGTTTCCACAGAAATATCTCTCTGTATGTATGTATATGTCCGTACATATTTGTGTGTGCATATGAGTATGGTAGTAGCATACCCAAGGAGACTTTGAGATCACACGGTCGAGCATTTAACTATAAATGGACGGTCCATACCGTTGGCATTCATTATAAATTACACGTCATATAGCAATATCTGCATAACCACAATGTGACTTGAATCATCGATTAAATGCCGTTCTTCTATTAACAACCATTTGTTTTGGATACACTTGCTGCAGAGTTGAATCAAATTGCAATTCTCTTTGCATGCCTTAGGACTCTACTTTTGTTCCTCAACTTGAAGCACGGATTCTCTTGTGCTCACTGCACTCAGTCAAACCATCTAAATTAGTTCTTATATCTTTATTCTACCTTATGTTACTTCCAAATTCCGCCTAATCACTGCCACTAGTGCCAAAGATGCTGCCTCTCTAAACTTCTTCACATATTCTGTTTGGTGTTCTTAAAGATTTGCCCTTCGAATTAAAAATAGCAGATTTTCCCACATACAAGGGCTTTTGGATTCTTTCAAGTGATAGCTAAAATATCAAAATTTGTGCGATTCGAGTCAGTCAAAATCCAGTATCTACTCAAAGATCCCGCATTTATCGAACATACTAGAATCCAAATCAAAACATCATCACATACAAAAAAAATCTCGAAATTCTATTCAACAATCGCATCGAAACCCTAAAGAATCTAAAACACAGCAGAAAACGTACCGAAGCTCATCCAACGAGAAACGATTCCGGGATCGCCAGAAGGAAAGCCAGGACATGGTGAGGCGCGATCCGAGCTCCGATCGAGAGATCAAACGACGCCCCTCTCAGTAACGCCAAGAAGCATCGCATCGAAAAGATCCGACGAATCAAGTGAGAGAAAAACCCGATCCAGCGACGAAATTCCCGATTGAAGAAACGAATTCGATGAATTTTCGCAATTTTTTACTTCGATTTGAGAGACGAAGATAGAGAAAGGGGAGATGCTGTTTGTTGACGGGAGCTTATCGTGTTCCTACGCTTGTTTTACCCGTAGCTAGGTACAAGGTACAGAGAAGCGGTCGATGGGGCCCGAGTCAGTGTGCGTGGGTCTGGGTGTGGGTATGTCAACTGGCAGCGGAATTTAATGGAGGGTATATATATGGCTATTCATCACTTATTTGGACCTCGAGTCAACTAGAGTCACCAAATTGAATTTCTTCTTCTCGCTTTTCCCCCTTTTTGAGCGACTGCAGAACATAGCATGAAGGCCTAAAAATGTTTTTCTTTCTGTTTTTGATGTTTTCATCAAATAATATCGCATTAGAAACAGAGTATGTTTATTCTCTTAAACAAAGACTATGCACTTTCTTTCTTCTAGAAACGGACACTTTTGTTATTTGATTGATGATGATGGTCATATGTTACTGGCATGAACTTGTCACGACGCAAATTTCCGAACCCAAAAGGAATATTAGAGCGAGACTAAACCTGTAAAAAATCCTCTAAGAATCTACATTCATCAAAAGACCACCACCAAAACAATCTACTTCTTCATATCTAAAGCAGAATACTTTCTTTTGGTAACATGTTTAATATTTGCAGAAAATCTTTTTAGAAACAGTGCTTTGCACGGGTCTAAATGCTAGTAGTATGAGGCTCCATTTAGTTTGATAGAAAGGGAGAGAAAGGAAATGAAAATAAAAGAGAAAGCGGGTTTCTACTGTTTGGTTTGAAAGAAAACAAAAAAGAAAAAGAAAATAATTTTCATTGCAGAAAAACCGATACGTATTTTTCCCTCCTTTCTCTCTGTTGCCCGGGTGAAAACAAGGGAGAGAGATGGAATCGCTTGCTCGACACTTCCGACTTTCCCTGATCTCTCACCTCTCATTCTCTCCTCTCTCCGTCTCCAAAATCCTAATTTAATTTTACCTAAACCCTAGTTCGACGCCGATCAAATCCTAGTTCGACGCTGATCAAACCCTAATTCAATTTCTCAGTTTTCTACAGCAAATCAAGATTGTAACTCTCCGATCTAGTTCGATTTTCTCAGATTTGCTGAATATTAGAGTTCTCGTCTCAGATCTCTCTCCTATGGAAATGAATATAGCAAAGAAAAAACTCATCGATTCATCAGTTGAGTTAAAAAATTTTGGATTTTCATAGTATTATACATTATAGTTGCAACTAGCTTTTGGTCTACAGTTTATTTTTTAAATTTTGTTTTTGTGGTTGGTGTTCATAGCTAAGGGAGATTATACTAGTTTTTTTAAATTTGTTTTTGAGGTTGGTGTTCATATGTTGTCTTTAATTTTGCTTCTAAAAAACTTCCTTGAAATGTTATTTGGATGAAGATATATGAATGGGAGAAGTCCTTTTGCAGTAAAAATTTCTTGATTGAACTACCAAGTTAAGAAAATTAGGACTTCAGATTGTTATCTTAGTAGTTTGTTCACGCATTACAGACCCTTGTGCTTAAGTCAGTTGAATCATCGATCACTTGCACTATCAGTCGATCGGATGGCCACACAAGATCGCATAAAAGCTCCAATAGAATGTTTATAGACCTGCATCAAATAGAATCTTAGCAAAATTAGATATTTTTGAGAAGCTTGGTATGAAAAGTTTAGCAGAAAAATGTCACTGTTCATCGACATAGTATGAATATGCATACACATCACACGTATAGTTGCGTCAACACAGTGTGTCAAGTAGGTTTTTTGTCATTCCCACGTGCAGCATCACTATTAAAAAGTTACTTGTGGAGTTAACATTTGTTCTCTTTGTTTGACTCATTTCATATTATCATTTCATATTCACATTAAAGATTTACCCTTGACTATGAACATTAGGGTTTAGTTTGTGACATGCTTACTAGAGGAAGTGTTTGTATTTGTGGACAAAAGAAGATGATGAATGTGCTATACAAAGAAAAAAGATAAAATGTTCAGCAGTCATTGTGGCTGCATATGCAGCATATGCAGATGCTATTATGGCAACTAATATCTACCAAGTTGAGTATATAGATAGATCAATCTTAGCTCAAAAAGATAAACATAGGAACTTACTTATGGAGTGACTTACTCGGCAAAGTGGCAGAGATTGTCGTGAACAACTACGCATGGGAGTTAATGCTTTTGCTAGACTGTGTCAGTTGCTTAGGGAAACAGGACGTCTTTATGATAATAGATGCGGTTCTATAGAGAAACAAGTTGCTAAGTTCCTTCAAATTCTTTCTCATAACTGGAAGAATCAAGCAGTGAAGTTCTATTTTATGCATTCGGGTGAGACTGTTAGCCGTCACTTTCATAAAGTATTAGAGGCATTATTATCTCTTGAAGATCAATTTATAAAACAACTAGATGGCATCAAAGTTCCAGTAGAAATCCAGACAAATCATAGATTCTAGCTCTATTTTAAGGTAAAAATACAATTTTTTGTTATAAATTTTACGTTATATAATAATGGTTATGTTGCTAAGTACTTTGTTGATCTATTATAGAATTGTATTGGCGCAATTGATGGATCTCATTTTCGAGTGAAAGTGGCAAAATAAGATACAATAAGGTATCGAGTCAGGAAAGAATTTCCAACTCAAAATGTGCTTGCCGCATGCACATTTGACTTGAAGTTCATATATGTCCTAGCTGGTTGGGAAAGGTCTGCTTCAGATTCGCGGGTGTTAAATAATGCATTAATATGACAAAACAAAATATTTGTTCCTCGACGTGATAACTCTTAGGTCCATTCACTTTCAAGATCAGATAAGACCTTGTTTATATAAACACATGCTAACTGTTAAATTTTGTTCAATTTTAGGAAAAATATTATTTAGTTGATGGTGATTTTATGCTGAGGCCCGGGTTCCTTACACCATTTAGGAGCACACGTTATCACCTCAAGGAATATTCAATAAGTCAACTTGAAAATCCTCGTGAGGTGTATAACCATAATCACTCTTCACTGCGAAATGCAATTGAGCATGCTTTTGGAGTCTTGAAGAAGCAGTTTCTAATATTGGGTAGTGGAACAGGACCTCATTACCCAATTGAAACACAAAAAGATATTATATATGCATGTTCTATCCTACATAATTTTCTAATGGGTGTTATCACTGAGATGATTTCGTAGTTGCTTATTTTTCAGCATCAATGGTGGAAAGTTGATTCTTTATTTGTTAATAGGCACATCCTGGAGCAAAATAATTTTGTTACAAATCTATACCATGTTTTTAAAACTTGCAAATCATTTATGGGAAAGATAGGGCCACTGGTTTTAGCTTCTGAAACTATCAAAGAAAGACGATCTCAGATAGAAAATGAAAGAGATGAATCAAGTTCTATCAATATTAATCAAGAAGATGGCATGGAAGTTGTTCACGAGAATGATGTAGAATGTATTAGCCCTTCAAAAGGTAAAGAACAAGATTCCAAACCCCGTTCTGCATCGGGAACATCTCCAAAGGTGATATATAAAAAAAAGCATGGTGCCACTAGCAACTTGGGTGAAGAGTTTGATGGGCTAAAAAGCGGAATGGAGTCAATTGCTTCTGCAATTTGGAAGACCGGTCCTCATTTTTGCACTGAAAGAGAGATATTTGAGGAGCTTTTAAAAGTTAATGGGCTCAGTAAGGACGCACAGCTAGTAGCCTATGACTATTTTACTGGGGATGCAGCTCGAGGAAGGAACTTCATTGGGTTACCAATTCATCGGAGGTAAAGGTGGTTGGAGATAAAGCTTGGATGGGCATCACACAATTTCGGTATCGGTATTAGGAGGAAATCTAGTTTACACTCTAATTACATGTCTGCATTTGTTTTGTGTCTTCCTTTTTTTAATCAAATGAGTCTAGACTTTGTTTCATCTTACCATTTCTGATGGACATGGGGAACTACATAAGACTATACATGTTTACTCTAGTTTATTTTTTGATCGTGGATAATCAGAGTGTTGTATTGCACAAGAGAAAACAGAAAAATTCTATTCTAGCACTAAAAAGTGCTCATCCACGATCTAGGTTTGTTCAGGCTCTGAGAATGTTATCAAAGCTTCAGGATTCAAACTTCAGAAGGAACCAAACAAAATACACTTTTCATGCCGCTAATGTATTTGAAACTAGTTTATGTAACATCACACTGATTACCATGTTGCCAATAAAGGAAACATGTAGTACACCCACTGTCCTAGGATACATATTGTTTTGGTCCAGTAAGTATTTATGTGCCCTTCACTATTCATTATATCTACAGAAAGAGCTGCTAAGATTTAGGATGTTCTGAAATAACTATAGACCTTCTAGCCCAGGAGAGCATAAAACCAATACATAGTACTACAAATTAGGCTTACACCAATGTGATCAAATGTGAGAAAGAATGCATTGAATGCGCAAAAGTATCTTAATATGTTGTGTGATCATTCTACAAATAGCAGAATGTCAATGATACAATCAATTGAATTGTCATTCTACAAATATTAGAATGGTCTTCAAAGACAATGTACAACCCACAAATCATTCTGAGGGAACAACTAGTATACATTCATAAGTAATAATTTCAGCTCACTACAGAACGAACCAACTGTCTTTTTTGGTAAAGCCGTAAAGGTTCACATAGACAATCTTGGTTCTATGAACAAGAATCAAAGTTAAAGACACCGCGAAAAGGTAAAATGCACGCGTAATCAATGATGAAAGAAAGAAGCACACTACCCCTCACACTTCAATGCCTCATCAATGTCAGGAAGAGATTTCTGTGTAGTGTGTAAACTATGATGCTTGTGTTGTTCCTCTGCTTCATAGTCATATATGATATATCCCATTGATGATGATAACAAATAATATTAGAGAACTTGCTGGAGTTGCCGCAGCGAGAAAATTATACAAGGATCCAAAGTTTTATAGGCCAAAGAGTTTAGAGGCAATAGCGGATAGAATGGGCCCGTGAGCTCCATTATTCCATATTGAGGCCAAATAAGCAGCGTTCCAATGTACATTGTTCCAGGCCAAGCCATAGCTAAGACGAAGTGGCCAATTACCAGTGAAAGCTTAGCTGCCACCACCAAAGCTATTAGCTTTGGGTATGCATGTTCCATACTTAAAGAAAGAGAGCAAAATGAATAAGCACTAGGATTCCCTGCTTAAAGAGAAAGCAAAATGAATAAGCACTAGGATTTCATAGTTGTTCGGAAAATACTAGTCTCACTATGAGACTTGTTATGCAAATGCAAATTAATTTCTGATGTTTTGGTCATCTACAAACCACTTTCATCATTTCTGATGATTAGTCTTAAGAAAAGAACCATGACACGACAAGTGGTAGTTTTATTTTTCTTCTAAACGAATGTTAAGACTCTATTTTATAGGTTTTTAATGTTTATATTGTACTTATTTGAATTTTTTTAATTAATTTCAGATGATGAAGGATGCGAGATTGATGTTTTGAGGGGCTCACTAAAGTCAAAAATCAAGGACTTCAGCAGATCTCTCTCTCTCTCTCTCTCTCTCTCTCTGTGTGTGTGTGTGTGCGCGTGTGTGTGTGTGTAAGATTTTCTATAAGAAATTGATTGTAATAGACTTTGTTGGTGAAGATTTTCTATAAGAAATTGATTATAATAGACTTTGTTGGTGAAGATTTTTTATATGAAATTGATTGTAATAGACTTTGTTGGTTAAGATCTTCTATATGAAATTGATTGTAATTGAATTTGTGACTAGAAATGGATTATACTTTTTATTAGGAATATCATGATTTTTTACTTTAGATTTGTTTGGGTTCTTTCATTCACCTTTTTTTCTGCAAATATTATGTGCGAGAAATGTTATTCTCTAATTAGTGGAATTATGGTTGTGCTTCTGCTTGTTATTATTTACAAACTTGATGCTGATGGCCACTCAAGTATTTGTGTTACGAAATTGCCCATTTTTTTAAATACATGTTTATTAACTTGTTACTTCCCATAATATGAATGATACTGATTTTGAATAATTATGCGTAAACTGCATTATTTTCTAGACCTTATTCGGAATCACCTTTCTTCACATGAGATTATGGATAACTGACAAGTCTAAAACCATATAAGATTATACGCATCCATCTTCTTTTCTTTTTCTTTTCCATTCTTTTTTTTCTCTGCCTTTCTCTCAAGCCAAACATTGCCTGAGCCAGTTCCAAGTGAGGAAAAGGAAGGGCCACGAAAGGGGAAAAAAAAAAAAAATCATTTTCTTCGACTCTATCTCCTCTCCTCTCCACTCGTACCCATCCCCTTTGCTGTGATCGTGACCCGTAAATGAGAGCTAGGCTGCAAACGCAGCAGCATCGAACAATTTAATGCGTACTACATTTTCGCGCTGCTTAGGCCGCCGCCTCCTCCTCTTCCATCACCGTCCAAGAAAACTCCAAGCTCATAAATATCTCGCCCCTCTCTTGCCCCAACCCTCAATTTATTCCCAGCTCTTATCCAACCAGCAACAACCGCGACAACAAAATGAAAAGGACGAAGGAAACAAGCTCGGCCGCCGCTCCAGGGATCGCGAGCCCTCGCTCCTGTTCCACGGGAAATCCTACAGGGGCTTCTCGCCGTCCTCATCGAGTGGAGCCGATTCGTCTGCCCATTTCATGTCCTTCTCTCGCGGTGGGTTTCTCCTTCTCTTTGAAATAATAAATCATTTTTGGGTTTTTTTTGAAGAAACTTTTTTTTTAAAAATGAAGATTACTCTCTTAGAGTTGCCAAGATTAAGAAGACTGAATTTGATGACACCAGGTATGCAACAATGCCTCCGCTTTTTATTTTTATTTATTTATTAGTTGTTTGGAGGTCTTGTCTTGTAAAAAAATTGTGAAGGATGCGGGGTGAAGTTTAGGATCAACAACGAGAACAGACCCTTTATCGCAAAATTTTGGAATCAGTTAAAAAGGAATCCTATTCTTCCGTTCAGTTCAAATGAGGATCGTCGCATCCGTTAAGTTAATCATTACTGTGTCCTAACGGGTGCATGAGGTGAAGTTGACGAACATTGGTGTCAGTGTATATATTCTAGAGGGGATCTCTATTTTGATTAGTGTTTTGTTGCGCAGGAGGTCACAAGTTGTGCTTCTTGATTTCGAGTTTTTTTTGTTTTTTAAATTGTTCTAGAAAAGGCAGACATTAGAAAGAGAGATGAGATAGAGAGGTCGTGATCTGTTATTTGATCAATAAGTTTATATAATTCAAACATGTATGTGATCGATGCGCTGTGCAAGTCAGCGAAGAGAATGCAAGATATGAAACTAGCACATGATAGGCCTACATGTTTGCATCAATGTTCTGAGATATTATAATGATAGATTCGATGGTGTCAAATCTTTTGAATGTTTTTTTGCGGGCAGTAAAGTTGTGCAATTTGTTGAAAAAATTCAAAAGGTCTCACATCATTTACCCGAGAGCCACTCTAGCTTAGGTAAACATGGAATAAAATTCTCAGACATAGGTTGCACACTATTTTAGCGCGACCCCGGCATCTCATCATGAGCTTGTACTAGCCTATTTTCACGTCAATATTTTTTATGAAGTTTAACCTTGCAGCCTTCTCAGGCTCAAAACATCGATTAACCCATGAAGCCATGTTTTAAGTTAAAAGAAGACTTATTACACGGTTTCAGAGGCAGTAATACTTCATTAATTGAGCTAGAAATTGACTGTTGAAACAATTAATTCCAAACTTTATGATTTTACTGGCATTTTTGTTTGGATTTCACCTAAACCTTCTAACTTGCCGTCACCAGTCTATTGCATCATACTTATTTGCATTTAATAGATAAAGTTCATATGTACTGCCATTATGATGCAACTTGTCTAACTGCAAGTGAGATTTTTCAGTCAACGAGCAGTTTATACCGCCCTATGTTGCAACTTTCTGGTATTCTCTCTTAAGTTTGGGGTCTGGTTTTCAACTTCCAGCCATGTTATGTTGGCTGAAGTTGTGCATTCAGTTGCCGATTTCGCAAACCAGGTACTTCACCACTTCTCTTTTCTTTGCATATCATGCTCATTTATGACACTCTTCAATTGCTATTTTTAAGGTTAAAGCTGGTTTATGCTTGTCTTTAGGCACTTCTTGCGTATGGTTTGAGTAGCTCAAGGCGTGCTCCTGATGCTATGCACCCGTAAGGTCTCCTCATCCTCATGTGTGTACATTACTAGCGAGACTTTTTCCCCAAAAAAAGTCAATAGTTGATAAATACTAAATTTTCCCTGTCAAAGGCATCATTAGTATCAAAATGTGTAAGCCATCATTCAAGCTCTATTTTATTTTTAAAACCAGTTGCTTTTAGTTGACCAACCCATGCTAATATACAGGAATTTTGTTAAGCTTAAAATGTGATGAACTATTTGTTCTCTGTTGTTTTATTTAGTAACACCCCACTTCCCCTCATTCTTTTCCCTGCAGTTATGGTTATTCGAAGGAAAGATTTGTCTGGTCCTTGATATCTGCAGTCGGTATCTTTTGCCTGGGTTCTGGCGCTACAGTTGTGCATGGGTTTCAAAACTTGTGGACATCGCAAGTATGTTATACTCAACACATCAATAAAAAATTTTCTATTGTGTTTAGCTCTGCGGTCTAGATTTGTGTGATAAGAAATATTTCTTTGTATACTAATTTCAGTATGAATTATTTGAGCAGCCTCCTGAAAATATTCACTATGCTGCTTTAGTGATTGGCGGATCATTCCTAATTGAAGGTTAGCTCTGCACGTTCAAAATTTTGCTCTCAAATTTATGCTAGTGCATAATTCTAATGCTTTTATTAGGAGCTTCACTGCTGGTTGCTGTAAATGCTGTAAAGAAGGGTGCAGCCGCGGAAGGAATGACAGTCTGGGACTATGTTTGGCGTGGTCATGATCCAACTTCTGTTGCTGTTATGACTGAGGTATGCCCTAAGATGCATGGCTATGGATAAATAAGAGAACCTTGAAAAGCTAGTACAATACATGGCGGTAATATTTCGCTAAACAGATGCAATCCAACCACATGACTAGTTTTATGTGAAACTTTAATAATATGCATTATGCCATGATGCAACATTAAAAAAATGTAGAAGAATTAATGTGAAGCAGATCACCACTTAAGAAGGCTTTCATATTTCATATTTTGCAAAATAACAATAAGATGGGAAGTTAAGCATCTAGTAGACAGTAACATATCGCCAATAAAAACTACTAATCTCATATATCAATTGCCACATGATGCAGTGAATATGAACATAATGATATGGTGATATGAGAAAAGGATTTGCCCCTATTTTGATACATCAGACAGACAAATACACATACTATGTAATGTTTTTTTTGCTTTATATACTCCATAAGTAATTTATTTGTAAAGGTTTATATTAAATTCAAATGTGTCATAAATTATATAATAAAATTTTAAATTATATGGGATCTAATAATTATTAAGCTATTCATCTGTAGAGAATATTAATCGCATGAATTCATGCACAATTCAAGTTGAGCAATGTCATTTAGTTTCAGTATACTTGGTCCCCAGATACATCTTTTCATACTTATCTGATGTCCTGAACATGGGTCAAATTTCGAGAAATATTAATATTGTTCCTTGCAGGTAGACACCGAGGATTAAAGTGTCTATATATATCATTGGTCCTCAATAGAGGAAATCAACTTCTTTAAGTATTTGTGCTTCTAGCATAGTCCAATCCTCGTTTTGACACCTTTTCTGCCATGGATGCTGGTCGGCATCGCATGTTCGTTTTCATGAATTTCCTTCATCTCACAAGTAATATCTGTTATGCAGGATGGGGCTGCTGTGACAGGTCTTGCTATCGCTGCAGCATCATTGGTTGCTGTTAATACGACAGGAAATGCAATTTATGACCCCATTGGTTCCATCATAGTTGGTAACCTACTCGGAATGGTATGCTATCCACACACCTTTATTAATAACATTTTAAAATCAGTTATTTTGCTTCTGCAATTTACTACAGATCGGCAAAAATATCTATGACCATTTGTTTTGTAATGGTTTGTTTAAAAAATTTGAAGATGGCGTTTCAGAACTATCCAAGTTTTTATAGATTGACAACTTAATCTTGCAGGTTGCTATATTTCTCATTCAAAGGAACCGGCATGCTTTGATTGGTCGAGCAATTGATGATCATGACATGGAAAGAGTTCTCAATTTCTTGAAATCTGATCCAGTAAGATAGCCTCAGTAATCAGTATTACATAACGTACTCCTAATTGCTTTCCTCCCCCATTTTTTTTAACGTGTTGGTTTCTTCAGGTTGTCGATGCTTTGTATGATTGCAAAAGTGAGGTGATTGGCCCTGGATTCTTTAGGTTCAAAGCAGAAATTGGTAACTCCAACTTTCCTTCTAACATCTGCACTAGTAACCTGTTGGTCTGACTTGGCTCCCCCATAGTTGCCCAGTATAGCTTCCATTTTTACTATTCTAGTCTTGGAGAATCATTTGTAATGAACTATTTATATCAAGTTTATCTCAATTGCTCAACATAGTACATGATTTAGTGCTGGTTACTTGGAATGAGGATCTAATGAAAATGGGTACACATAACATGCTTATTTTTGAAACATGGTGCGCATACCATGTTTCTTTTTATTTTTTTTAGCTGGAACAAAATTTAGTAGTTAGATGCGCGCGTGCACGCACGCACAAATTAAAATATGCATGTAGAGATTGTATTTTGGAGATACCTTTCTGCAATGATGTCTTCTGTTACTATTTCGATGTTATGTTCACTATCTCAACGAACCATTAATTTTCACAATGCCTTCCCCCCCAAAGTGCTCCAAGCCTGCAATAATAATTTATAGTGGCTATGTCCCCCTGATGACTTTTGCGAGTTCCATTCATTTTGTCTTGCTCTCCTTGCTGGGCCATCATTGGGGCATATGCAGCAAATCAAAGAAATTTTGAGGACTTGAGAAAATTTCATCACTGTCTAGAGTTTTCAAATTGGAGGGACATTTGACTCTACTTGTAAGTCAAAATTTGTTGAGATTTGAAAACCCAGAACATTATCTCATTGTTCCAGAGCCAGACTGCAGATTGCAGGGATGCTACGATTTTAGGTAAAGCAGTTTCATGATGTGTTATTGTGATCGGCATACAAAAGAGAATATACTCTTGGCACTGAAATGCTGTGTGCAAGAGGCTGAGGTTTCCATGTAAATCTTACTCTTCCATTTTCAACGGAGATTGTTACTAAACATTCAAACAGCTTGTCTCGAATTCACTAGTTAAATGCAAGGTATAAGTTCTTGACTAGTTAGTTTTCCTAGTGAAGTTCCAGAGTGCCAATAGGAAGATGAATTGCCTGCGACTTGCTTTGAAAAAGATGACCATTGCCAATATCGATGGATGTGCCTCACAGCTTCGTGTACCCTGGTGATGCTTTAGCATCAACTATTGAGATGATTTGTAAGCAATTAAGGTGAAATGTTTGTTAGATCAAGCTTGATTCATGTGATGGTGAAAAGGAAGAAGGGATGGTGAATTGACTAGTTCTGATTAGTCATTTAAGAAACAGATCAAAGCATGAATGATGCAATATATGTTTGTACAGAATGGAATTAATACTTTCTGTATTCTTTGTTGTACCTTGGGTTAATATCATTACCACTCTTGTTTGCTTTTCCTCCCTTTTTCCTCTTTGATTGTCTTGATGGCATAGTTATCACTTTCATGGATACAGTTTCTTTATGTAAAGCATCTCATGAAGAACCAAAATGCATAAATTTTCAACTTCTATGAACAAATGCGCCACATCCTTTTACCAAGTTTCCATTATTAAGTCATAAACTAGTACTCTCAATTTTTTTGGTGACTTTTTGTCTTGTAGAATCAGTGATTTATTTACAAACTACAACCGTATTGACCATATTTGTCGAAATCATCCTCATGTATCATAAACTTGATATCTTATCTTGGTCTAACAGATTTCAATGGTGAGGTGTTGGTGCAAAACTATTTGGAAAGAACCGGGCGTGGAGAATGGGCCATGCAGGTGTGTTTTCATGTGTCATGCTAAGCTATTTATGTGTTAATAACAACTAGATTCAGTCACCCATGTATGAAATTTGTGTATCAATAAGATTGAATTGGATTTAACAAGGACTCCGACCATGTTTCAATTCTTAGAAAAGTTTTTCCCCCCTCCCAATGATGCCAAAATCTTGTGCATTTGCCATTTCATTAACACCTATGTAGTAGATATGAATACGGGTCCACTTTTGATGCTAACAGTTCCGAGAAGCTGCAAAATGTAAGGATGACTCTGCATTACTCAAGGCTATGGCGTGTTATGGTATGTGCTAGAACAGGCAGTTATGCATTCACATCTGCCCTCCAGTTTTGTGTTGGCTCATAAGGTTTTTATTTCACCGTTTATTTATTTATTTATTTGGTGAATGGTGGCAGGTGAGGACGTTGTTACGGCACTAGGGAGTGAAGTAGATCGACTCGAAAGGGAGATCCAACTGATTGTTCCTGGGATTAGGCATGTCGATATCGAGGCACACAATCCTGAAACACTTGCTGTGAAATAACCATTCTCTGCTAATTAAATGTATTCGGTGAAACAAAAAAATGGAGAGGTATTATTTTATTTTATTGCCAGTTAAATACAGCATCTCCAAAATTTTCCTATGAGATGCTTTGCTTCTCTTTTGTTGTGGAGAAGCCATTCAGTGACCTTGTAACAACGCACAGGCATATTGAATCCAGGAAATTATCCTGTTCTTGTTGATCCTAAAATATAAAGGCAACTAACATTTGATCGTATTTCTCTTTTTCCTGTTCATGGTTTTGGACAACAGCCTTCATAATCTAATTTTCCATTTCATTGATGTCGAATCTTATAAAATAGACGTATGGGAGATCAAGATTTATTACATTCTCCATTTTGTTATAATGCTTATTTTATGCTCCTCATTACATATGTTATTTAGTTTTTGTTGTAATCTCGTTGTTGTATCTACATACATCACATATCAAAAGTAAGAATCAAACATAAAATTTAAATGTAAATAGACAAGAGAAGAGATAAGGAGAAAGTGATCATCTCATTTTATTCATCCTCATTTCACCATACATTTTGTCTTCCATGGATTACATTATATAGATGTAGAAGAGAATACTAAAAGTCACAAGTAGGTGAAGAGTCTTCTTCTAGTAATGTCCACATTCATTGTATTTATATTTACAACACTCCCCCTTGGACATTACTACATGATGTCAATGCCTCGTTAAAAACCTCGCTAGAAAAACCCAGTGGGATAAAAACTAGTCGAGGAAAAGAGTACACGACATTAGTAGATTCTTGTTGCATTAGTTGCCTCATTAAAAACCTTTAACTAAGAAAACCCTGTGGGACAAAACTTAGTAAAGGGAAAAAGAGTACAACTATAGATCTTCGGGATCCAAAACTTGTGTTGCATTAGTTGCCTCATTAAAAACCTTTAGCTAAGAAAACCCTGTGGGACAAAACTTAGCAAAAGGAAAAAAAGAGTACAACTATAGTCCTTCAAGGCATAATCTTCGGGATTACGTTGAATATTCGCTCCCCCTGATGATGACAATCTTCTGACTTTATGCTAAGAAAAAACCCAGTGGGACAAAACTTAGCGAAAAGAGGCAAATTATGATAATAGATCTTCAGGGCCCAATCTTCAGGATTGTTCTTTAAGAATTTGCTCCCCCTAAAGAAGATAGTCTTTCAAGTCTATGCATATTGTGAACATATTATTCATAAGTTAACGTAGGCAGATACTTAGTGAACAAATCTGCAAGATTGTCACTTGAGCGAACTTTTTCGATGGTGATTTCGCCATTCTTTTGGAGCTCATGTGGATAAAAGAATTTTGGCGTAATATGTTTTGTCATGGTTCCTTTTACATATCCACTGCTCATTTGTGCAACACAAGCTACATTGTCCTCATAAAGGACAGTGGGGGGATATCATCTTTCGCTAGACCACACGAGCCATAAATATGTCGTATCAACGATTTTAATCATACATATTCTCGTGAGGTCTCATATAAAGCGGTAATCTCTGAGTGGTTAGACGAAGTAGTAACCATGGTCTGCTTAACAGACCTCTAAGAAATGACAGTACCACCACAGAGAAAAACATAACCAGTCTGGGATTTGATAATATGGGGATCAGTCATATAACCAATATCAGAATAGCCCACCAATGTCATATTTCAATTTCTTTTATAGAATAAACAAAGATCTCTTGAAGATACCAGAGGATATATTTAATATTATTTTAATATCTCCTTCCAGGAGATGCACTAATTCTTGCTAGCAAGTGTAACACAAATTTCAATATCAGGCATGATGCAATTTGTAAGATAAATAAGTGCTTCAATAGCGCGCTCAAATACGGGACTTCAGGTCCTAAAATATCCTCGTTATCTTCTTTAGATTTGTATGGGTCTTTATCCACTTCAAGGGATTTAATAACCATTTGTGTGCTAAGTTCATGAGATTTATCCATATAAAATCTTTCCAAAACCTTTTTCACATAGGTTGACTGGTGTAGAAAAATTCCTTCTGGGAAAATGCTCGATCTGCAGGCCGAGACAAAACTTGGTTTTTCCCAAGTCTTTCATTTCAAACTCCGTCTTTAGGTATGAGCTAGCTTTTGTAAGCTCCTTGTGCATTCCAATAACATTTATATCATCAATATAAACCGATATAATATAAAAGCCATTTATAAACACACAAGGGCAGACATCATTATTTGCATATATCCTCTTCAGGAGGAACTCACTCAGTCGGTTATATCACATTCTACCCGACTGTTTCAAGTCGTATAACGACCTTTATAATTTAATACTATTGTTGCGATTCTTGTTTTCTCTTAATTCAGAAATTGTAAGTCCATCAGTGACTTTCATATAAAAATATTAGCGTCTAATGACTCATATTAAAATGTGGTCATGACGTACATATACTGTATATATAAATTCATAGTTTCTGCTATATGTATTAACTTGCGGAACGTAATACAATCACTAATAGGAGAATATTTTACATCTAAATCGATGTTGGGTCTCTGCGTGAACCCATTTAGCTATGAATCTCGCTTTATATCTCACCACCTTACAATTTCATTTATTTTTCTTACGAAGACCCATATATATATCCTACAGGGATATATGAACTACAGGTTCAAAAATACTTTAGCGAGTTCAGCTCAGCCTCAATTGCCACTTTCCATCTCACCTAGTCCGAATGCTTCAAGCACTCTACTATTGACTTAGGTTCTGGATCCAGATTATTTTCGGAGATAGTAAGAGCAAATGTAGAGGCAACTATGTTGTCGACAACTTTTATATTTATATTATATATTTCTCCTTTTTCACAAATTCGTGGCCACTTCAATTCTTATTTTATGTCAACCAAATCCTCGTCATTTCCCTTAACAATTAGATTTGGTCGTTCCGCATCTCTAATATTATGATTATCAAGTGCACGTGCAATTTACTAGAGATTCCATCTTCAGGATGAACCTCTTCTGGAGGTTATGGGAGTGACTGTCTTTCTATATATAATTTAGTTTGCCGCGGACTTTTATCTTTTACAGTAACATGGTTTATATGCTTCTAGCACAATATGCTTCTGGCATACCAAATCATCAATGATATATTCAACATGAATATGGGGCTTAGTCACTCTTTTCTTAGCAGATTATCATGTGAACTTCTGGTTCAGTTTGACTAGTACGTGGATATAAATATTGAAGATCTTTTTCACCAATGGAATTTCTTGACATTATTTTGTATTTTGGGCACTAATCTCCCCCTAATGTCGAGAATCGATCTTCAATAAAAATGTAGTTAGCGTACTAAATTGTAAATTGATCCCCTAACATGGGCCATAGGTACTAAATTATTGACGGAGTTTCATAAATAATATATGTACCTTCACCGAGGTCCCATAGAGGTACGCTATGGTGGTGATATAGAAACATGGACTGCAAATAAAAAATACGCAGATGGGAAATGTTTTGTTTCTTCACCACGTATTAGATAAAGGGGGGAAATTGTGATATGCAGTTGGTCGGATTTGGTTTGAATGCCCCATTTAATTTAAGGAAATCCGACAAATCATATTTTGCCCAAGATGACCCAATCGCTCATGCCAGAATTTAAAAAAATTTTGGGTCCCTAAATCTCAAACTTATCGCAACATGGTGTATTTTAGGTCAGACAAATTCTAAAATATACACATATGAATAAAAACCACATAGGCTTATAAGAGTTTAAAGCAAAAATCAAGATAAATTAAAATTGTCTGACAAATGCATATAATCCAAATATAGAAAAACCAAATAGTTTACCTTGACCACCTCAATAAGATCTACTACCTCCCCCTCGTCCGAGCTTATGAATATTAATTTGAATTATGACATGTGCTTCAGGCACTACGACTGAACCAATTAAACTTGCATTATGGTTTCTCACAACAGCTGGTTGTGTTTTTAACAACTACTAATGCAAGGATTAGTTCATAATGCTTTTAGTTGTACTATTGTAAGAGTACAAGGTTACTTGTTGAATTGTATTCAGTCGAGGGTTTAAAATCCAAAAATGGCTACAGGATAAGATCTCCTATTATGTTCATAGCCTCCCCCTTGTCCCCGCGTAAGTCATGTATTTGAAATCCAAAAAGTTCTGATTCAGTCTGCCAGTTGCGTTTGAGGGAATTGGTTTTCATAGATCAAAGCGATCCTTCAGGGATTGCCCAGAAAAGTGAATACTTTTTCACTGAGGTATTAATTTTTCATGTCTTAGAAAATTTAAAGTGTTTGCCTTCTGAGCAAATATACTTAAAGAATCAAGAGATATAATCGTGCAAAAATCACAGGTGTGTCCAGTAAAAAAAATGAACGTTCAATGCTAAGTAATAATTACTATCATATATCACAGTGTACTAATCATGTGGACGAAAGATTAGTGCATGAGAAATTAGAAATATTCATATTTTAATAAGATCACACATAATCACCAAAATCATTAAGCTCCTTTTTCTAAAGATCTTCATAAAAGTTATCTTTCAAATGTTTGCTTCTGGCAAGATTCGAAACTCCACTAAGACAATGCATACTCTTATTCTTCTAAACAGAATAAACAACAATTTTGCAAACTAGGAGATAAGCATGAATATTCAACTTCCCAAGGCAGTAGGTAACACATGATACACTTGCATCCTTGCAGATCAACATGAAATACTAGATTAATATATTTGTGCTGCATATTCAGAAATCAAGACATTTATGCATTCATAATGAAGTATAATCTATCCTTAGGATAGAAACAAACTGAAAATGAAATGTGGACGAAAACCATAGGATTTTATTGAGAAACTCTTTGCATAAGGTAGGTGGAAGTTTCAAGATTTCTATATCAGATTCTTTAGTTTGCACCATATTATATTACAATAACGTGTGATCATTTATTAGCTTCTTTCTCATTAGCATCAAATTGCACTATCTCATAAACATTTGTAGATATATGTACAATTAATATGTTACCAAAATAACGTGTGATCATTTATTAGCATCAAATTGCACCAATGTAATAGACCCATTTAATATGAAATTATACGTGCAATTTATTAGCATCAAATTGGCGACTGAAGGTTTTACATAGCCATAATATCAATATTATATACCATTTTGATAAACTGGTGTAATTTACTTATTAGTATATACAGACACTTATATTGATACATGATGTGCATACAAACAGAATTTGATTTATCTTATATGATTGGTATATTTCAAACAGTGTTTATTATGATAAATGTATTATAAAAATTAAACCTGGATTATCCATACTATTATGATTTGGTATATTTCACATGGACATACTTAATATATTAACATACTTGACCTTCGGGGTATCAGACATGTATTATTGATTAAATAGTTATGAGCAGTGTAACTCCCATAACTGAAATTTGGGCCAATCTGTAATATATTGGTCTATTACATGTATCAGTTAGGCATGTTATTAAAAATGATTGTACAGTTATGTTATATGTATTAATATTGGTTATTAGAAGGATTTATCTTATCATTAACGCAGCAGCATGGATAAATCCTATTATACATTAGATAATGCATATCATGTCCACAATTCTATTAATTCTTTAGCCTATGACGCATTAACTCACTATGATGACGGCATATCACCAGTCCGACAATTGCTATATGTATTAGGCTTGATACTATGTAAAACCTTCAGTTATGGCCATTAGACAAACTGTTAAATTGATAATCTTCGGTATAATGACAGCATATTTCAGAATAAAATATTATAAACTCTTACCACCAACGGACGATTACGAACCGGCTAGCTAGAGCTTTCGTGCTGATAACGTGTTGTAATCTCGTTGTTGTATCTACATACATCACATATCAAAAGTAAGAATCAAACATAAAATTTAAATATAAATAGACAAGAGAAGAGATAAGGAGAAAGTGATCATCTCATTTTATTCATCCTCATTTCACCATACATTTTGTCTTCCATGGATTACATTATATAGATGTAGAAGAGAATACTAAAAGTCACAAGTAGGTGAAGAGTCTTCTTCTAGTAATGTCCACATTCATTGTATTTATATTTACAACAGTTTTTATTTTTTTATCTATTTTTTCTTTTCTTTTTTTCCCCTAAAAAGTCGTATGTTATTCTTAAGGATCATTAAATATAACTCCATTAAAATGCATTTTTCAATTGTCTATGCAAACGTCTGGAAATTGATCTCTATTCAAGGAGGCAACTAAATGAGATGGACATTTTGAGTTTTATTTTAAAAAAACAAGAGGAAGAGGTAAAGCATTTACAAAATATTCATGAAGAGGTCTATTTGGTTAATTTACTCATTGTCATGCGTATTTTTCCCTTGATTAATTATTATTATTTGCTAGTTATTGCTTTTAATTAGTTAGTTTTAGCGTTTGCTTTTAGTGTGTGTTTTCTCTTGAGATGATGGTGGTGTTTTTTATTGTTGTTTGATTGTTTGATTTTGATCGACCCATCTGAAACTAATTTCTGTCTTTTTTTTATGTGTGTGTATATATACACGTGTATGTGTGATGTGATCGTTGAGCTTGAAAATCCTCATGATTTAGCTCAGCATCACCATCTTCTTGTTATAAGACCCGTTTTAATTCTAAAGATACAAGTACGAGTAGTAGTACTTAAAAATGTTCTAGAACTTCAAACCTTTTAAATTACCTTCATATCTAAATGATACTTTAGATCATATTTAAAAAATCATCAAACAATCCCGAGTCCATGATATTATTCTACTACAAAGAGATGTCAATCCTTACATATTTACTATTTAGACTTCAGGAGTTGACATCTTTTTAATGCACATCTAATGTCATGGACCAGTGCACATCTAATGTCATGGACCAGATCCACCGGATACATTCTCAAGAAATGCACTTTAGTTAGGAAACCGTGTCTCTGAAAAAATACATGAGAAGACCAATGATCAAAGGAGATCAGGAGTATCCAAAAAGCAGCTCCGTCTACAAAACAATATTTACAAAATACTTATACCCATAACTGAAGGATTACAAGCAACACAGAGATTAAGAATATCTGGAAAATAACGGTATCTTGCAATGAGAGGTGGTAAAACTAATTTACAGATATCAGCGTGACAACCAAAGCAACCACAAAAACATAAATTATATGATCTTGCTTCTGCTTATAACATGATGAAAGAAGGGACCCAAAGCAAAACTTGCAGTGTAGGCGACAAGAAAACTTCGTATCAAATATGCCAAATATACCTTATTATCAAATACAGCCTCCTCGATTGACATAAACAGTTTAATCGTGAACATGACACAATATCACTACAAGGATTGAAATGCTCATCGTAACTAGCTCGTCCGCAATATATGTGTACTTCTTAGCTGCAATGAAAGTTGCAAGAAGCAAACGTTTAATATGATAAATCTCGAAATGACGAAAATTCAATCTTTCAACCACGAAATCATCTCGTGCTATTTGTTTGAGATATCTTCATATATGAATGATGATCCGCTACGGATAGTTACTTTTAAGTTGAATGCAAAAGGAGAGAAGTTGTCCAACAAGCACACAGTACCATCACGCACTGCGTAAAATGGGCAGGTATCAGTTCTTTCAGAATCAGGGCACAGGTGCTTCTTCCTGATACTCGACACACGATGCACTTGACGAAGCCTCGCATCTCGGGGTCAATAAGTTATCTCCAAGGTAGCCTTTTCAAATAGAAACAAGTTGAGAGCTTAAAGATAAACCATACATTGCATTAGGGATGGACTATGCGCGCCGCGGCCTAGAAGTGAAGCATTGGTCCCAGTCACCAGGCAAAGACTAGTAAATAGAAAGACTAGTAAATAGAACATGCAAAAGAAACCCGCATACTACGAGCTGCACGCTTATATACTTTCTAAGCGAGACCCAACATCTTCTCAGTTAATTGAACTTAGTAAATTATAAATCACAACCATAATCTTAAAGCCTTGATTGCATCTTCACGAAATTGTAGGATATTACCCACTGACTACAAGATATAGCTGTAAAATGAGTAAATTAAAACATAATAACAAAGCAAACTTATAATTAACAATAGGCTTTATATAGCCAACCACAATTAATTTGGGATGAGGAGTGCCGCTGTTATTATAGTATTAGATAGACATCAAAGAAGTAACAAAAATAAGAGTAAAGATAAATGTGTTAGCGCCTTCAATCCCAGATCTAATATAAACGCCAGAATAAACATTGGGAACAGGTCCATCTCTAAACTCACAGCAAAATTGACAAAATACTTTTTAAGTTTCCCGGCTACAACTTGGCAAAATTCTCAAATGCAAGAAACACATTCAACTTGAAAAAAATCTGACATCAATAAAAAGGACAAGGAACCTCGAGATGAAGCTTAATTCATCCTCCTAATCAACTCATTGATGAAGTTTTCTCGGTTGCCAGCATCTCCACCCTCAACATAATGATTCCTTTTCTTCTTCAGGCCCCCCAATGGTGCCTTGAGCTTGAAAGGCCATAGGAAGTTGTTTGCCTCCTTAAAGTGTGGCCCCACAGTCATGATCTCATGGATAAGGTCTTCAATACAGATAATCCCAAATTTCCCAAGAGCCTGAAACCAAAGAACACAATACTATAATAAATCATAACGTCCACGATGTACGTTAAAATTAGGGATGACAATTTTTGTCCATGCCATTTTACACGCCCATGCCCCTTTACCTCGTTGTATAGTGATCTCATCGCCTCAGCAAGCTCACAACCTCTGGTGGGCGATTCTTGGATGAGTTAAATGTGTTAATCATGGACTTGATTAGGTCAAATCTTTCTATTTTATTAGGGTTTTCTATTGTCTATCTGTATATACAATTAAAGATGGTCTGACACTGAATAATGTTCTAATCAGCATATCTGTTCAAATCCTATAAAGAATTGTCTTTTTTCGAGAAGTATAAATTAAACAAAACAATGTTGATAAGGATAATTGAAAAAGTTTTTTTTACCTTTGTTGTTGATCAATTTTCTATAGGATAATCTGAGTTTTTTTATTGATTTATTCACTAACGTTTTTAACCTACTACTGTTTCTGTATGCATAACCGCAATAATTTATTAGTCATGTCAATAATATATGAAGAGGGATTAAGATTGATGTCTTGCTCCTACTGTGAACTGTTCGGCTTTCTCGATGACAGTTGCAGTTGAAGGGATCAAACAAGATCGTGAAATTGGTTCTCTCTAAAACGTGTTGAGCAAATGCGATACCTATAGGGTACAGACACTTATATCTTCAACTTAGCTTGGTGTATTATGTTACTTCCTCTGAAGGGTGCTCTTTGCATTTTGTAAATTGTAATAAATGTCATATGGTAACTTTTGAAGATAGAAAAGAAAACTTTCTTGTTATTTGTAAACAGAGAAATAAACGATAATTGCTTATCCAGTCATTCAGGTTGGCATTCTATATGTTGAAATTAATCCATACGTAAATGAAAACATGTTACTTAACATCAATGTTTTATTTTGTCGAAATAACCTTTATCAGGTAAGCAAGCAATAATTATAGCATACCTCACTTGCAACAGAATGAACTTGTTAGTTTCTACTATTAGTTATAAGTTTGGATCCCCTTCTTGATATTTTTTCAATTGGAAAACTGATTTGCTTACATCATAATTGTCCTATATTTTCTTGATTTGTCTACAAACAGTGAAAAGCTGCAGCATTATATCAAAATCAAAACATTCTGAATCCTTGTAATTGTTCAAGGCTTCAAGCAACAGGTATGCATCGAGTGATAAAATGGCAGATGAATATATGCATATGCTTGTTTAGTTTCAATATTATTCTACTATAATTAAGATTTTTGAACCAATATGCTTCTAAGTTTATTGTCATAGGAGCAATTCTCAATTGGAAGAACAATTAGATGCGTAAGATTTTTTTCGTTTTTATGTAGTTGTTTCATCTAGAGAGTAAATTTCACAAATTGTCATGAATTATTAGGGATGTTATACAAAACATCATAAACTATTTTATAAGAGAAAAATAACACAATTTCAAATTAGTAGAAAAATATCACATCTTTCAAAAAATTATATGATATATCCTGAAAAGGTTTATAAATTCATGTTGGTTTATTGACCCTCTGAATCCGCTTTTAAGGCCATGGTCATTTGAAATTCCAATTCCACCGACTGAAGTTTATCCAGGTGTGCCAGGTTGTGGAAATCTAAAAGCGAAGTGTAGGGGAAGGGCACTACTTAGGCTTTTGGGGCTTAAGTGGTTCATAGCTGAAAAAAGCACCACAGAAAAAATAGTCCAAATCCTATTAAATTTTTAAATATGGATAAAAATTCAAAAATACTTGATCAAGTTCAAACCCAAAGAAGAGCACTATATTGAAAGCACTTGAGAGGAGGAGAAAATTAGAAACAAGTGAAAATTCAAAGCATACTATACATGTGTCGACGCTATCACCCCAACACCAAGGGTGCTCAAGAGGAGGCAGCGTCGCGCGGAGAGCTTCCTAGACGCAGAGATTGCTAGAGACGGAGATGGTTTTGGGGTGTCTATAGTTTCTTTATTCACGTGGAGATGGTTCTATCGGAGGCGGACCTGTCAAAGCTTTAGCAACGAGAAAGCTTCACCTAAATTTGGGGTGAGCTTTGATGGACAAGAAGAGGTGGACAAGGTGGAAATGATTAATCGCTGGAGAAGAGGACTTGTCAAGATGGACGAGTTGGACAAAGTAGGTGGGTAAGGCTCGAAGCGAAGAATTTGAAATATAGGGTCTTTTGGATTCGGAACACAGAGGAGAAAGGGGTTTTCGGGTACGAAAGGCTACTTACCTACTACTCATTTTTTCCCTAAAAGCGTTTAATACCGTGAAAACGGTGAAAGCGAAGCGGCTAAGGACCACTTTCACTTTAAAAACTGCTCAAGCAGGGCTTTTTACCACTTTTTCAATGTGTGTCGTATTATGTAATACGGTGGTTAACTGTTATTATATAAGCAAGGCTAGTAGGCTCCAAGTCATCTTATATGAAACAAATTTGTATGGCGAGTAGCAGAAAAACTGAATTGTTACGTTACGATATGTTTTGTTTATGTTATTTTTTAGGGGTTTTTGCTTTTAGACCCATTTGTTTACTCCCATTTATTTTTAAACCCATGTACTATTATTTGTATCTTTAAGCCCAATTCACATTTTGTATTTATTTTTAAACCCAATCTTCAAAATATAAAAATAAGTGGTTTTGGGTTTAAAGATAAATACAAAAGGTGAATTGGGCTTAAAGATACAAATAATAGTACTTGGGTTTAAAAATAAATGGGAGTAAACAAATGGGTCTAAAAGCAAAAACCCCTATTTTTTATTGTTTAAGAAAAACGAAATTGTCCAACAAGGCATGACCGTGAAGAACAAGATGAATGTCAATGTACTTGTATACTAACTAGTGTTAGAAATAGATTTTAGCGCATCTCTAATCAAGGCTTCAACAATGCTTTTATATCAGATTACAAAAGTCAATGTTTCTTAACTTTTGTCTTTAAGGCAGAGAAGTTAACCCACACGGCGGAGAGCAAGAGAGGGCGGAGAAGAGATGCACACATTCACAATGTTGGGAGCGTAGTAAAGGCACCCAAAGTTTTGACTGACATTGTGGTGAGCATTGCGAGAGTTGTTTATCATGACTGTTAAATTCACGTGAAAAATGTGTGGATAGTCTTTCGGAGGCTGCTGGGGCCAATGATCACTTAGATTTTAACACTTTGAAGTATTCCTATCTTCCCTTCATTCCTCATTTCCACATCTTCGTTCGAAACAATCAACTTTTGTAGTGCATCCTCACTGCATTGAGCTTCGCAAAGATTTGATGCTTGGATGATCCGATCCCAAGAAACTTTCCATCCACAAACACATTTGTCACATTCACATTCTTGTTCTTGTAGTTCTTGAAAGTGAGGGACTTGTCTCTTTTTTCAGGTGGTACCCATACAAAGTAGTCTTCCGCAACTGATGACCACTGTGTATAAGTACTTCCTTGAAGAAAGGAAAGTCTGACTTTCAAGAACTGGAAGAACAGGAGCATGAATGACAAATGTGTTTGTGGTCTAATCACAAGCAACTCTCTATTCACACATATTTCTCACTTTCACATTCCCAATCATGCGATTGTTGAAAGCAACACTTTCCTTTCTTCAGGGACAACTCATACAAAGTGGTCATCAGCAATCAGAAGCCAAGGATCACTTTGTATGAGTTCTTGAAGAAAGAAAAGTCGGACTTTCAAGAAATGGAATGGAAACATGAATATGACAAATGTGTTTGTGATCCGATGCCAAGAAAGTCTCCATCCACAAAGACATTTATCACATTCACATTCCCGTGTTTGTGATCCAATGCCAAGCAAGTCTCCATCCACAAAGACATTTATCATATTCACATTCCCGTTCTTGCAGTTTTTGAAAGTGAGCGGATTCCCTTTCCTCTTGAAGTGCTCATACAAAGTGGTCGTCAGTAGCTGAGGACCACTTTGTAGGAGTGCTACTCAAAGAAAAGAAATTTTGACTTTCAAGAACTGGAAGAAAGGGAACATGAATATGACAAATGTATTTATGAATGGAGAATTTTTGGGAGCTCAATAAACATTAAACAAGGGGATGCACCTCAAAATTATCTGAATAAAAATGTGGAGATGAGTAAAAGATGGAAGATAACAATGGTTTGAAGCACTAAAATCTAATTGGTCATCGGCTGCAGCAGCACCCTAAAGACCGTTCATATCTTCATGCTGAACGAGATGTACAGCAAGATTCCAAGTTGTACAAGGAAAAAGTGGTGCATGTATGATATCTCAAACTAGTACCAAACATTGTTGAACAATTACTATTATATTCTACAATCTAGGATAATGATGAATGCACAGCAGAAACATCATGGGTAACGCAGACTATTTGGCAGAGATAATAACATCTTCCTATATACAACAATTAAAAGTATATCATAACTGTTCAATCTCAGGCATCAAAAGAAAATTAAGATACCCAACCTGTTCAATAATGGTATTTTCAGTCAATGGAACTCTTTGTTTGTCGAGTTTCCCATATCCTCTCTTGTAGATCAACTCTCTAACACTCTTAAGGTTGGGATACCTGAAACATTTCACCTCCAAAATAAGTATCACATTGAATAAAGATGGAACTATTGAATTTAAAATTGTAACTAAATACAAAGGTCAGTTAATAAGTACCCATAGGTCACATAAGGCTCAACTCTGTGCAGCATATTCATTGTGGCCTTGTTAACTTTCAAAAACACTCCATTAAATATCTGCAAGGTGTTCATTTCTATTAAACCCAAAACAAATTTCTAAAATAATCATAAATGATCAACAATTTTGATTACTAGCCTGTCTCAGACGCAGAAGCTGCAAAATTTTCCGAGATTTTGGGTCCATGGCATTGATACTACATAATATTAACAACAAATCTCGATGACCATTACGAAATTATACATAACAAAGATAAAAATAAATTGAAAAATAATCATACCCTCGAATCCTAACGATGAAAAGAAGCTTCTCTTCAGGACTAACATAAAACCCACCCTTCATTCTAGCCTCTCTCTTCAGCCTGATCAGATCCTTCTCCTAATAACAGAAAATAACAAACACCCAACTCATAAATCACCACAAAACAATCAAAAGACACAAAAAGATAGAACCTTGAGCGGTATCCAGTACCTGGGTCTCGTACTCCTTAGAATACTGAAGAGCTCTGCTGAAGATGAGCTTGCGATTATCTCGATCCTCCTTCTTCTTTGCTTCGACCTCTTGCTTCTTCGCGAGCTCCCATTCTTCGGCTCTCTTTCTCTTCTTGAGGACTGATTCAGGGATCACTGCTGCCTTCGCTTCGGCCATCTCTCTCAATCTTACTGCAAAAAAAAACCTAATGAGATCGTGATGTAATGGTGAATTTAAGGGCTTTTCGTGAGAGCCCTGTTGAGAATCTGACGGCTGAGATTTTCTCGCAGTTTTGGGCCTGATCAAACGCAGTTGGGCTATAATAATGAACCTTCGTTCCGCTCTATGAGCCTGTGGGCTGGGCCGAAAGAAAAAGTACTCGGTCCCGAAACTACTAGCCCTAACCAAAACACGCGCAATACGCGTGCTCGGAAAAAAAATCCCTCAAAATAAAATCAATCAAGGGTTCCCAAAATCGCCTAAACTCTTCTCAAATCTCCCACCATCATCGTCGTCGATGGCGCATCGTCTGCTAAGGGACGCTCAGGCCGACGGATGGGAGCGCTCCGATTTCCCCATCATCTGCGAGTCCTGCCTCGGCGACAACCCCTACGTTCGAATGGTAAGCCCCCTCCAAACCCTAACCCTAACCCTAACCCTAATTTGGTAGCCCTAATCCTAATTTGGTTCGATTTCAGACGAGGGCGGTGTACGATAAGGAGTGCAAGATCTGCACGAGGCCGTTCACGGTGTTCCGGTGGCGGCCGGGGCGAGACGCGAGGTACAAGAAGACGGAGCTGTGCCAGACTTGCAGCAAGCTCAAGAATGTTTGCCAGGTCTGCTTGCTTGATCTCGAGTACGGGCTCCCGGTTCAGGTTCGGGACACGGCGCTGTCGATCAACTCGAATGACTCGATCCCGAAGAGCGATGTGAACCGGGAGTACTTTGCTGAGGAGCACGATCGCAGGGTATGTTTTTGCGATTGTTTTTTTTATGTTAATATGGTATGAAGATGAATGGTAGTGTTGTGAAGTGTTGGTAGGTAGAAGGGAGATGCTAATTTTTAGGGTTCTTTTGATGTTAGTTGCTTAAATTATCTGAAGTTGTTCGCTTGAATTATTGAAATTGATATTAGATCACGCCGTTCTTGTATATTCTTATTGCACTTTTTGGTTGGAGGGATTAATTTGAATCAAATTGTAAGTAGTAGAGGACCTAATAGCAATTTCAGTGATTTCAGGGAATAAGCTTGAAACAATTAATAAGAGTTGGGGGGGTCCAAATAGCAATTTTGGTGATTTGAAGGAATAATTTCAGAGTATTCAAGATCTAGGGGAGCTATATCAAAATGGTTTTGGTAACCATTCGGGCAATGATTAACGAAGATAGAGAAAAAGAGGGGTGAGCTTGAGAGGGGCTTGTGTTCTCCAGTAATCCTCTCTCTTCTAACTCACATCTCTTTTTCTCTTCAAGCAATGGTTAAAGAAGAGAGAGAAAGAGAGAAGTGATGGTGAATGGGGCCTATGTTTCCCACTGTTTTCCTCTTTCTCTCTCTTTGTTAACCGTTGCCCTAGGTTAAGCAAAACCCCATCGAAACGGTTTTACTAAGTGCAATGGTTATGAAAAAACCCTATCAAAACGGTTTTACTAAGTGCAATGGTTATTGAAGAGCGAGAAATAGAGAGGTGAGGTTGATTGTGGCCCTGTGTTCCCTTCTAGTTCTCTCTCTCTCTCTCTCTCTTCTCCCTCACCTCTCTTTTTCGCTCTTTGTTAACCGTTGCCCTTAGAGCAATGGTTAGTAAATCCGATATCGACAAAACCCTAATATCTAGAGAAGAGATATATGACTTATAGTTTAACAAAGGAAATATATTTTTGTATCTATTGTTCTGTTTATAGGAATCACATGACAAGAGGGCGTAAGGGTTAAGGTATTATGGGATTTTAGAGGGAGGGAGTCGGTAGATATGAGCCTTTTTTTTGGGGGGGGGGGGGT